CTGGGCAAGATTGGGGTGAATCCCATGTGGACTGCTATGACAAAGCAGGCATGCCTATAGCCAAACTGACCACTAGATGGCACCACAACACCAACTAGTTTTCTGTTTGGGTCTCCAGTGTTCCACGGCCAGATGTAGGGAACAAAAAGGCAGTAGAGGTAAGTCTGCAGGACTTGTCCGACTTTATTATTATTAATTATTATTATTGCTAACTAGGGAGAAGGGATAGTTAAGATAGGTTTACTATAAATGAAGGTCACCTTGCATTCTTCCCTGAAGAAAAGTAAGGAGAGGGCCCTGACCCTGGCGTTCCCGTCTTAGTTTTTTACCTCTGGGAGAAGGGCCTTGGCTGTGTGGGCCTTTCTGGTTTCTAAATAAACGTATAAAGTGTCATGTAACTTGCTTTACTGCAACTCCAAAATCTATATGAAACCAATGTTGTCTTTTCAATAATAGCACATAGCCACATTTTAATGCAATATTAGAGCATTTTGTGTGAATTGAAGTATATTTTATTTAAGTTCTCATTTTTTCCTTTTTAAATTTACTATTTAAAGAGTTTCATATGTCCATCATCCTAGTTAAGTTTTCACAATAAACACTATGGCTGAGAGCAGCCTGGGAGGAAAAGGTTTATTTCAGTGTACAGTTACAGTCCATCATGAAGGGAGGTCATGGCAAACCCTGAAAGCGGGAACCTGCAGTCAGGAACTGAAAGAGTCCATGGAGGGACACTACTTACTGGCTTGCTTCCCCTGGCTCGTTTCTTGATTTCTTATAGACCCCAAGATTACCTGCCTAGGGACCACACCACTCATGTGGGCTGGGCCCTTTCACATCAATCATCAAGAAAATGCCTCATAGGCTTGCTGATAGGCCAAGCTGATGATGGAGGCATTTTCTTAATTGAGGTTCTCTCTTCTCAGATGACTCTAGCGTGTGTCGATTTGACAAACAAAACCAGCTAATACAAGCATGTATTCAATTAAACCCACCCCATCTCCACCTCCATCTCCTCATTAACCCCCCACTGCTCTGGCCCCATCTCCATGTGGTCCTTTGAAACTCACTGAAGCCCTGGAACTCCAGTACGTTCATCTACTGGGCCGTCAGCAGGGGTGTGGGCAGTCTCTGAGGGGCTGCATCCCTGAAGCAAACTGGCACTCTCCCTTGCCAGGCAGCTATCAATTGGCAATAGCTCTTCAGATATTTTTGTTTGTTTGTTTGTTTTTGTAAGATCCTTCCCCATCCATGCTGGGATTCTGGCTGGTTGGATCTGGCACAGGTCTTGTGTGTGCAGTTCTGTGTAGTCACAAACACTGTGAGTTCAAGCGTGCGGTGGCCCTGTCCTGTCTGGAAAGCATTCTCCTCTCCCTTTGCTCTTACAGCCTTTCTGCCCCGCTCTTCTTGGATGATCCCCAAGTATTGAGGGGTGTGTGTATGTGTTGTAGCTCACTGAGATCATGGCTGGGTAGCACTGATAAGTGTAGCTGGAGGTTTTCTTGTGTCCTGGCCAGCCGGCGGTTGGGACAAACCTTTCCCACTCGCATCCCCCAAGTAAACACACAGAGGCTTATATTAATTAAAACTGCTTGGCCATTAGCTCAGGCTTACCACTGACTAGCTCTTACACTTAAACTCAGCCCATTTCTGTTAATCTATATGTCACCATGTGTTCCGTGGCTTTACCTGTGTGTCATTACATGCTGTTCCCTGGATGGTGGGATGGCGTCTCCTAATTCAGCCTTCCTCTTCCCAGAATTCTCCTTGTCTGCTTATCCCACCCATACTTCCTGCCTGGCTACTGGCCCATCAGTGTTTTATTAATCCAGTGTACAAAAGCATTATCCCACAGCAGACAAATGTAGATGTAACCAACGGTCTTATAAAATAAGAAACATAGAGCCAATTCAGAGAAGAAAGCCAAGAGGTCAGAGCTAAGAGCCTCATCCTTCCTGATTCAGGGATCCTCTCCAGCCAAGAGAGCTCTCCGAAAAGGACCTATTTCCTGTGTGTCTGTCTTTAAAGTCTTCCTGTTCTGCCTTCTCATTGGTTGTAAACCCAAACATGTGACTGCCTCGTCATTGCCTGAATGTACCGCCCACCAGGTCCTTAAAGGCGTGCGCCACCGCCGCCATGCATTTGCTATGACTCTAATAGCTCTGACCCCCAGACAACTTTATTTATTAACATACAATTAAAATCACATTTCAGTATAAGTAAAATACCACCACATTTCCCCTTTTTTATTTTAATAAAAAGGAAAAAAAAGAAAAAGGTTATAACTAACAAAAGAAAAACTATATATAAAAGTATAATGACTATATACAATATATACAAGTAATAAATGTCTAAACAATGTCTAGTCCATTTGTATTTGACAAATTCAGAGAAAATAATTTCATTATCTATCCTATTTTGTTAAGTCCAAAATGTATCTAATTTATTTTTTATTTTAATTAATCTTTAATTATAATTAATTAATCTTTAATTATAACTATTTAATCTTCAACTCCCTCAGAGACCCAAGAAGGAAATAATATTAGCTAACAAAAATAAAAACAGAAAGTGTATGCAAGCAACTTCCAAAAAATTTGTGAGTTGACAGAAACAGCCAGCTGCCTGGACAGTCATCTGAGGTTTCTCCATAGTGTTGGGGCATCATCTTTAGCCTATAGGCTTAGCATATCTGACAGATTCATTTGTGAAGTAGGATGTACATAAGGTCAACAGTTCAACCTCATATTGGGTGAGAGCAGTCCATGTATCAGAAACATCTGAATTCCATTAGTGTCATGTCATGATTCAGGATTTTAAATTCTGGAAATTGTTGTTGATTTTTTAATTTAGCTGTCCATTCTTCTTGGCTGTGTATATATGGCTTCATCTTAGCATCCCGTTCTTCTCTATATCTCTCTGTCAAATGCCAGTTTACTATTGTGAGGCGTGAGCTTAGTTATTCTTTAAGAATAATTGTTTTAGCTGCTGTTCCATTGCATATCAGAAGCCATCGGCCCATTGTCTATTTAGCTGCCTTCGAAGAAAAGGGCATTGTACCTTTTCCGAATTGTGAAGGCCATTTCAGGGATGGTGCCATATTGTCCTGGCCTCAGAAGATGCCTTTTGATAAAGCCATAACCACATTTGTTTTGGCAAGAATCAGTAGTCCTTTGTTTTATGTCCTGTCTGTTCATTTTGTCAGTAGTTGATTCAAGGATATTTTGTTGTCCAGTGGCTAACTTTTGCCACAATGAAAGTTAATTCCATACATAGTTTTTTCAATGTCCATATTTTTCCTGAAGTAGATTGGTATTGTCAGGAGCCGACATGTCTCATAATCATAACAAAAAAGAAAAATTTTCTAAGTTATTAAAACATTTTAAATGTCATATTCTGTAGATCTCTGAAGGGTTTGAAGATGACCTGTCTAAAATATATCTGCTCAATTTTTAAAACATATCTAATATGACTACAAGTTCTATTGTAATGTCTAACTACTAACCTTCATTTCTTTATATCCTAATAGTTGGTAATAATAACATTCAAGGATCAGAAAATTGCATTGTTAAATGAACGGTATTAAGTACAATTAGAAATATACATATAGCATTTTCTAACAATATCAATTTTAATATATATAATTTGTATACAATATAAAACAATCCAATCCAATGTAAAGTATTTAAAACTAGTAATTGTCTTTTTCTTCTTCTTTCTTTCTCTTTTTTTTTTTTTAAACAAGAACCTTAAATCTAATCTCTTTGGTTAGCCTTTTTCTAACCCTTGACAACAACTTGTAACCAACTCCCCTAAACAATGAAAATTATCCCAGACCCAAAATCCATTAAAAAGACCAAAAAATCACATTTCAGTATAAGTAAAATACCACCACAAACACTTTTCTAGTAATATGCATAACATCTTCTATCACTATGAAAGCTAGCAAGTATATGCTTATAATTTGACCAGCCAGCAGGAGTCAGTGCCAGCTTGATTTATCCATGTCCTGTGACTTGATTATATGGTGTCTCAGCATCAGGTTCTGGAGGGTAACTAATAACAGTGGCAATAGCTTGGGTTTTGAGGGGTCTGTGGGATCCGTTGACCATAAGTTCTCTTATTTTTTGGATTCTATTAAGTCTGTCACCACAATAAGCAACATCTGTTAGGCCAAACCAAAGGTCTTGCTACCCACTACCACCAGGGCAGATACAGCATACGTAAGAAAGCACATGCGGTGTGAGTGACCTCAGCCCGGGGTGTAAGTCCCAGTGTTTTGTGTAGTGTTGGCTATTGAATTTCTAACTCCTCTCCTGGCTCTGGCTCGCTTCTTTCCTTGGATGTGTCATTCACTTAGTAAACTGTTTCTGCCTCTGCTGCTGCCCATGTGCCCAGTGGGTGGTCACCAGACTCCCATATCTACAGATCCATCACTATATTCTTCAACATTAATATACATTACATAGTATTTTATTATTAAAAGGTGACTATGATGGTTATATTCTTCAATAACTAATAATTCAAAGATCTAAATACTAACCCATTCTCTTTGGAAGAATTTAACAACTATTGTGAAATTAGTTTCTGTTATCATTTTGATGACTAGGTTGGGAATGAGTAAGCCTAGAAGAGAAGCAAGCCCATTCCAGTTGCTCTGAGTTCCAGGCACATTTCTGACAAGACAGTGTGGTGACACCACCCAAGCCAGAAGAATTACTCTCTGGGGAGGAAATGCCTTACTACAGGCTTCCTGCTGAGCCCACCCTGACTAGGAAGTCTTTAGCTTTAGGAAATGAGCTGTAGTTCTCTGTTGTAAATGGGGAGAGAGGAAGAAGAGAGGATAGGCTCCCCGAGTCTCCGGGTTTTCAAATTCTCATGGGGTGTTGCTGTACTATGAAAGATGTAGTGGCTCAAAAATGCCAACACCCAACAGACGTGCAAGTGAGACACGTTGGTCACTATTGCTGTATGGACTTCAGCACCTGCTTTTCTGTCTACAGGTCTACAGCTTGAAGGGGTACTGGGCAAAGCTGAACTCCAACCTCGAGTATATCAAGTACACGAAGCCTCACTTACACTATCACAACAGTGTTGTGAGGAGAGAATGGCACAACCTGGTCTCTGAAGAGGTGAGCACGCAGCTAGCTCTAGAGACCGAGCGAGACCAGCCACAAGGCTGGCTCCTGCTGGTTGTGCTCTTTCCTGTCGCCTCATGACAACCCAATGGGCAGCCAGGACTGCTTCTACTGTCTGTTCTTTGAGGACAAAATTGGAGTAAGACAAGTGAAGGGGCATGTAGCACATCTTTAAGAGAAGCACAGGAACATGTCTCAGATGCTGTTAGATTCCTTAAATAGCTGAAAGTTTATTTAGAAAAATGTAGATGTTCCTCAGTATTTGCTAAATGTTAGGGGGAAAAGGAATCAGAGAGACAGACTGTAAAGGGTTGACAGGAGCTCTCTGGGGATAGTTCTGTATTTTAATAGTACATAAAGCTATGCACATGATAAAATGGCGTGGGACTAGACACATACTATACAATATCCATTTCCTGATTTTGACATTGTAGTATAGTTGTAGCAGATAGAAACATTAATAGAGGTAGGATGAAGGGTGCCTGGGACCCCTGTACTACTGTTGTATAGAGTCCAGGGTTCCCTGTGATTATATTGTTTGAGAATAAAGTTTAATTTAAAACAATAGATGTTCTTACTACATGGGAAATAATATTATTTTTGAAGACTTTAACTACATTGCTTTTTGTTCTTGCTATTAAAAAAAGCTATCCATCAAATTTTCACCTTCCTTATTCCTGACATGTTTTCTCCCCCAGAAAACAGGAAAAAGAAGGTCCACGACGTACGTGAAGAACATCCTGGACAATGCAATAAAGTAAGTACAATCAAAGGACAGGTATGGCTGGCCTGGTGGGCTGCCTCTGTGGGACACCCTGGTGAAGTGCCATCCTTGGCTTCCTCAGACCACTGGGTGCCAGAGTTTCTAGTGGGAAAAGCTTCCAGGCCAAGCCTCTGTAGACTGGTGCCCTGGAATGGATGGTATAAGATGGATATAAGATGGTATAAGATGGGTAAATGGTAAAGAAGGGAATACTTTTGAGGATGAAAATAGATAGTAGGCTGATTTAAGTTGTTGGTGGAGCTCGCTCTTATTTTGAAAGCCTGTTTTCTGAGTAGATGAGTCATCCCAGAGTGCTGAGAGTAGAGGCCCCATTCCAGCAGCTGTTCTATTTTCTGCCTCCATTATTTCCAGTAACTGAGAGCTGCAATTTTTCTAAATAATTGCCATTGCTGGCACTAAAGGGCTTTGAGATTTGTAATTGCTTAATGTGCCTTTTGGTACACTGATGAAAGTTTTTCGTTTCCTGGTAGGCAGAGAACAGCTTCTGCAGTGGTCTTGTGAGTCTTTAAAGAGGATATCTCTGTACGGTGTTGGGCTCTACATTTTTTAAATGATGCTTCCCTTGTAAATAACACATAATTTCTTCGCAGGGTGATTTCTAACATGGAAACGAGGACATTGGGTAAGAAAAGACCTGCACTAAAGTCCATGTCTTGTTTGCAGTGTTCTTCCTAACCAGTGGGTTGGCAAGAAAATCACTTGCAGCTGTGTAACGGGGTGTAATGGCTCGCAGCAGCTTTTAACATCGCCCTGTGAGAGTGACCACATAGCCAGGCCCCTGTCTGCCTCAGCACTAGGACCTCCAGGTCAGCTGCCGAGTATGTTTTTGCAGAAGGAGTCCCTCCGTGTTGGCCTTCTGGTTTTCCTCACGTCTCCACTCAGAGCTGATCTAATTCGCACGACCTCTGGCTGTACCCACAGGGCACACTTGGCAGCTCAGAGCTGATCTAATTAGCATGGCCTCTGGCTGTACCCGCAGGGCACACTCGGCAGCTCTCCGCCCGAGCTGCGCTCCGCAGCTGTCTGATTACATAGAGCCTTTGACTCAGATGTGCCTTTCGTTTTGGTTCAGTCTGGGTCATGCCCTGGGCTTGGTCCCAGGGGAGCAGTGTGGTTCTGTGGGATGGACACCAGCTTAGACTCCAGAGCTGTCACATGCCAACCATAAGTGCCTCGCACATTGTCCTCAGGGCTAGTGTGAGGGGAAAGGAAGGATGGACTGGTTCATGTAGAGCATACGAGCCAGTGCCTAGTGTAGGCAGAAGGGATGTGGGCAGGAAGGGTCTTAACGGAGAAGAGAGAGGCAGGCGAGGCTTTCCAAGGCAGGTGTCAGCTAAATTAAGTCTTGACAGGCAAGGAGGGGTTTCTATGGTAACTGAGGTGGGAGAATGGTAAATATCTTTAGGTCCAAGCCTTTTGGATATTGATCATGCTTCATGAAGGCCAGCCTTCATCAAGGAAACTTTTTATCTACTCTTGTTTTATGGGCTTGGATGTTTTCATATATGTGGGGATCCTAATGAAAATCAATTTGGAGAGTGTAACACCATACTCAACAGTATACTGTATACACAGCCCAGTGAACCATGAAGGTGACTTATCTCCATGGGGAACTAGCCGTAACCTAGGTAACCAAACCATCCTTGCCTGTAGCCAGGGACTGTGCCCTACCAGACGGCATAAATGTGTGAGATACAAGGTCATCTTCCTGCTGTGGCTAAAAGTTGTGCAGTGTGGGAGATACTGCTGCTGTCTCAGGGAGGTTTTGGAGCTCTGCTTGGTGCCAGGACGGCCATCGTCTTGCTGGGACAGTGTCTCCCAGGGTGCTTTAAAAACTTCATTTCCTGCCCCATGCTCTGCTTCACATGAAGAATGCTGTTACTGCCTGAAACTCAATAAGCTCATATTCTGGCTACTTTCATCATAATCCTGAGGGTTAAGTAGGGTGGAGAAAGCACTCATCCTAAGGGGCTATAGAGCACCCATGCCCTTTCAGAAGGAAGCATCAGCTTGTGGGTTCTGCCCTCTTACCTGCTCTGGGCCTCAGAGATCCTGAAAAACCCCTGCCCGCCTGCCTGCCTACCCGCCTGCCCGCCTGCCTGCCTGCCCGCCTGCCACTGTCTCGCTGTTCCGATCTTCTCAGAAGTCTGATAGCTTGTGCCCATCAGCCTTGTTTGCCCCAGTTATTGGCTGTGACATCAGTTCAGTAACTCTCAAGGCCACTGAACTATGGGGTCAGGAGGTAGAAGGGAACCATGCTGCCGTCCCTAGAGTTAGGCCTCTTGAGGGTAAGAGGCTCAAGTAAAGAACTGGCCTGTGGGGTTCTAGCCCACTTCCTGAACACTGCACTTCTGATGGCTGCTCCTCTGTTCAATTTCAGAGCCAAAGTTAATACCCCTCTTACAGGAAGAAGACAGGCACCAGAGGCTGCTCATGGGTCTGGTAAGTAGTCTGTAAGTAAGCTCTGCAGCGCCGGCAAACAAGTGGTCCCTGGTAAGCAGTCTGTAAGTAAGCTCTGCAGCGCCGGCAAGCAAGTGGTCCCTGGTAAGCAGTCTGTAAGTAAGCTCTGCAGCGCCGGCAAGCAAGTGGTCCCTGGTAAGCAGTCTGTAAGTAAGCTTCTGCAGTGCCAACAAGCAAGTGGTCCCTGGTAAGTAGTCTGTAAGTAAGCTTCTGCAGCGCCGGCAAGCAAGTGGTCCCAGGAAACAGTGGGCAAGGACAGATGGCTACCCATTCTGAAGGCATTTTCCATTAAGTATTCATCAAGTGCCAGCACTGTAGTCCCAGGTGTCCAGTGGTGAGCAGAACGTGTGTGATCTCTACCCTCTTGGCATATACAGTCTAGTAAAGGAGACAAATTAGTCACACAAATAAGCATGCATGTAATTAGTCACATGAATAAGCATGTAATTATAAACTGTGATAAGGAATACATGTGCATATATGCCTACATTCTGTGATTCTGGACATGTGCCCCTGCTTTTAGCTTTTACGTGGGTTCTTGGGATTTGAACTCAGGTCCCCAGGCTTGCATGACAATCTCTTCTACCCACTGAGCTCTCCATGGCCATTTTCATTTTTTGACTATCAAGTTGACAAAAATTTATAAATCATATTAACAAAATTCAGGATACAGGGAATTGGCTATCCTCATGCCACACACCAAAGATTAGAACAAACTGTTTTGGTGGTGTCTTGCAGAAGCATGAGACCCAGTCAATTTCACTTCCAGGAACTGAATCTGACTGTAAAGTTGTGGCTATATCAAAACCCTTTTCTTCCCTTCTCTCACTTTACAATGAAACTCTGGAATGAGATGATATTACTTCTGTGGCCAGCTCTCGTGCAAACGTTTCTTTCAGGTGTGTGCATGTGTGCACATCTGCATACTTGTGTGCAGTGTTACTAACAATAGTGAAAGAACAAGTACAAAGGAAATAAATCAGTTTTAGTACTTTTCACAAAATTAAATACATCTAGTCATTAAAGCTAGTCTAAGATGTTTGATGACACCAGGAAACTACCACATGGAAAGAAACATTAGAGTGGGTGTGCACAGCTGAGTAAGGGAGGCTGCGATGTTCCTGCAGATGCAGAACTGTGAGACGCCTTTATTTTAATTTCAAATTTTATTTTGTCTATTTGTTTGAGATATGAGATGTGTCTCACATAGCCTGTTGGCCTTGAGACCACTGAGTACCTAAGAGTACCTGACCTTGAATTCCTGACCCTCCTGCCTCATCCTCCCCTATGTCAGGATTATATAAGCATTAGGCCAGCATTAATTTTCACCTTTATAGTCATTACAGAAAAGTTAAATAGCACAAAAGTACATAGTATTTCTTAGGAGAAAACTGTCTAAAAAGCCAAGTGTACCGGCGCTCGTGAGAGGTGAATTGAATGGTGACATTGTGCCTTGCTTGAGGCCACACAGAGCCCACTAAGATGGAAGGTTTATGGATGTGATGTCCTGGTACAGTCCTCGCCCGTTCTCACTGCACAAAGATCTCTTTAGCTAAAGCAGCAACAGCAACAACAACCCTCTTGCTGAGTGGGGCTTTCAGGCCCAGAAGGACAGCAGGAGGGGAGAGCAGAGGAAGGAAAGGAGAGACGCGAAGATGGAGGGCTAGGGATGCAGACCTCGATGGGAGGGTGAGGCTCAGAGCAGATACAGGAAGAAGCCTGGAGACATAAGAATGAGTCTTCATTACCTACCCTGTGAGGTGGGTGGTGTGGTGCAGATGTGGTGCCTGCTGTATTTCCTTCAAAGTCTGTCCTTCCAAGAGTCCCTACTGACACCCCCGACACACACACACACACACACACACACACACACACACACACACACACACACGAGTCCTTGTCTCCATGGAGCATAGTCTCTCAGTGGAACACAACCACTTTGTGGAGCACAGTCTCCCTGTAGAGTATAGTCATTCCATGGAGCACAGTCTCTCTGTAAATCATAGTCACTCTATGGAGCACAGTCTCTCTGTGGAGCACAGTTGCTCCAGGGAGCACAGTCTCCCTGTAGAGTATAGTCATTCCATGGAGCACAGTCTCTCTGTGGATCATAGTCACTCTATGGAGCACAGTCTCTCTGTGGAGCACAGTTGCTCCAGGGAGCACAGTCTCCCTGTAGAGTATAGTCATTCCATGGAGCACAGTCTCTCTGTGGATCATAGTCACTCTATGGAGCACAGTCTCTCTGTGGAGCACAGTTGCTCCAGGGAGCACAGTCTCCCTGTAGAGTATAGTCATTCCATGGAGCACAGTCTCTCTGTGGATCATAGTCACTCTATGGAGCACAGTTGCTCCATGGAGCACAGTCTCTCTGTGGAGCACAGTCTCTGTGGAGCACAATCTCTCTGTGTTGGTCCTGCTATTTTCCCAGAGCTATTGGTGGTGTAAGCTTCAAATAGGTGTAGATCCCAAAGCCTGTAACCTCAAAGCTGGTGCCTTCCACCGACTTCTTTGGAGGATTCTCATCGGGGTTAAATGACTCCCAGTTGCCCCCTGGCTTTGGTTAAATCATAAGAAGTTCTTCTGATTTGTTTCTGAAATGTTGGAGTCATCGATTTACCTCAGTAGAGGGCAGTTAAAGAGTCATGTTCCTTTGGGGTGGTGAGAGTAGAAGGTTTCCCTCGGATCAAGAGTTTTTCATGTTGATATGAAATATTAATAATGGCCCTAATTAAAATCAGCCGTGGGTGTGAATGGGGCTATTGTGACTTACTTAGTATCTGTTCTGTTTCAGATGGTGTCTGAGCTAAGAGACCATCTACTGAGACACCTACAGGGCGTAGAAAAGAAGAAAATTGAACAGATGGTTCTGGACTACATTTCAAAACTGGTTGGTTTCACTTTTTTTCTCCTAATTTCAACTCTACCCTTAGCTCTATGTCTAGTTCTTGAGGTGTCAGTCAGTGATCCTGTTGGTTGTTGTTTAATGTGTGTATGTTTGTGTGTTGTATGTGTGTGTGCATGTGTGCAGTGGGGGTGGGAGTGCCCATGGGCCACAGGTTGACTTTAAGAATCATCCTCCATCACTTCCTGCCTTGGTTGTGGAGACAGGATCTTCCTGAACCTGGATCTCATCAATGCAGCTAGGCTGGCCAATGACTTCCAGGACTCTGCTTGTCCCTTTCCCTCCCCTCCCCAGCCCTGAGGTTACAAATGCCAGGTGGTGCTCTGCCTGACTTTTTACATGGTGTTGAGATCCAAACCCAGGTCCTCATTTGGCATGGCAGGCAGTTTGCTGACTGAGACATTTCCCGAGCACTCGTCCCCCAACTTTGTTTCTCAGGTTAGGTTTGGGAGATTTCCATCTTCAAACTGGTATATTTGGTGCTATAGATTGAGAAAGGGGTAAAAAGGACAGCAAACAAGGAGAACTTGTGGGTGAAAGTGGTTTTCTGTCCTGTGCTCGCTCCCAGGAGCACAGACAACACGGCCAGGGCAGCGGCCTAGCGGGCTCATTTGGCAACTTCCAACTCTTTATTGAACAGTAAGTATTGACTTCTGTAGCGAAGGTTTACACAGATAGGAGAGAGCTTGCACTAATCCCCAGTTAGCGCCAAAGTCAAACTAGGCCAGCTTCCAGCTCAGCTCTCTGTCTGCTAATGAGATGGTGGCTCATTGCCTGTCAGCCATGTATTGAGATGCCATTATTCAAATGAACACCTGTTCATATGTAAATAGAAGTGATGTGATGAGGTTGGATTTCAGCCATTTTTAGCTTTTTCAAAAAACACTGAAGCTGAAGTCTGGCCCTGTATAATCTAGAAATATTATGCTTGACAAATCAAAGTATTCAACTACAAAGAGAAAGAATGCTCCATTATTTTTCCAAGTTCGAGTAAGACTGGTATGCAAATGAACCAGTGTATATGTGTATGTATATATATATATATATGTGTGTGTGTGTGTGTGTGTGTGTATGTATATGTACATATATTTTTTTTGCAGTAACTTTGGAAGATTAAATTTCTTAGCTAAGATCAAGAAAATCTGCTCAATTAATTTTCAAGTGTTCTACCTTTATTGTAGTCATTAGTGACTTTTCATATTTGAAAATCTACTGAAAGATTTGGATTTCATAATTTAAACCTTATTTATTATGCATGTGAGTGTTTTGTATGTATGTATGTCTGTGTACCATGTGTATGCCTGGTGCTCACAAAGGCCAGAAGAGGGTGTCAGATCCCCTACTGGAGTTATAGACAGTTGTGGGCTGCCATATGGGTGCTGGGAACTGAATCAGGGTCCTCTGGAGGAGCAGTCAGTGCTCTTAACTACTGAGCCATCTCTCTAGCCCCAGTGAAGTTTATAACCTTGATATACTAGGAAAGGCTGGGTATTGCCATATAATGATATTTGTAATCAGAGCATCCAGCCTCCTCTGTCTTTCTCGATAGAACGACAGTGAGGTACACATTAAGAATATGGTACTGACCCTCCCCACATCGACAGAAATGTTCTTAGTCATTTCTCTCTCTCTTCAAATAAAAGTCCTCTTTCGTTCTTTTGATCAGCCTTATGTTTTAAAGTGATTCTGTTGATGAGTGCCAATATGTAAGGCTACTTGCTAGTGTTCTGAATCTTCACAGTAAGGGTAGGTTCCCCAAGGTCTCTGGTCTTCGGTAATGATGAGGAGTTACTTGCTTGAAACCATCTCAAGCCAGCAAGGCATTCATGTATCTGTCATTTTTAGTATTGCTGGTAACCCAGGTAGCCCCTCCACCAAACAGCCTTGCCTCCTTATGCCACAAGGCCAGCTGTGAGCACCACTACAGCCACGCCTTTGTGATTGTACAGAGTTAGACAGAGTGGGAATGAAGGAATTTTTTTCCACACCAGGTATTGGCAGGCAACACATGGCTCTCAGCTCAGGCTGAGACAGGGACCTTCTTGAAACTTAAGTGCATTGACTTAAAGAACCTGTCACACTGCGGAGGCTTCCTTTTGAAATTATCACCAACAAAGCTGGCGCAGGAGCCCACCTCTCCGTGACAGAGGTGCCCTTTGAAGACCTGTGTTTCCCTCTCTGTATGTCTGGTGGCTGTGTCATTTGTATCTCCTTAGCAGGGGCTGTTTATGGTGGGGCTTAACTTTAGACCTCATGTAATCTCGATGATGTCTGTGGCATTTTCTATATAAGTCCATTTGTTCATTTGTGGTAAGGTGATGGCTGCAGTCATTGGGAACAGCTTTCAGAGCATGAGAAGCTCCCAGTGTTGTATCAGTTGACTTTAAATTTCACCATCTAAAGTGCTAAGAATTTCCATTCTAGCATTCTTCCTTACTGTACTTAATCACATGTAAGTTTTCACACTAGTTTGTGCCAACTCCTAGAGCCAAGAGGCCCGGAAATGGTGCCTGTGCTGACCCAGAACACCGTGCTCCTTACCCAGCTGCAACCAGCTGCAACCAGCCATGCCTGCCATGCTGATCTAAAGAGGGTGGCTCGGCAGTCTCTCTGGAAACACATTCAAGGAAGTTGCTGTAGAGCTTGATGATATTGTCCACATGTAGCTTGCTTTCAGCCAGAGAATCCTGTACCACTGAGGCTGTGCAGGGAGTTCCTTTCTTCCCTACTTCCTGCTCCTACTCTAGTAAGAGCACTAGTCTGTGGTGGACAGCCTTTTGGGGACTGCCCTACTGCTGACGAACTTGTAAAATTAGAATCAGTTTCTAGATAAAGCCCGAAGCCAAGACGGCATCTTGTTTGGGTGATATAGGGCTGATTTGTTGAGCACTGGCTCCAGGGAGTGACTTGACTAATTTTTACAACAGCCCCGTGAAAGCATTTCCTCTCATGCCACAGAAAAAGACACTGAGATTTGGAGAGGATGTACTAGGGAGACACAGTTCCACAGAACCTGGCCCTGATGTCGTCTTTCCCCACAGCTCACATACACGACTCCATGCCACTCTGTCATCTTTCACTCAGCTCTCAGCCCTGGCAGTGTGGCAGGCTGACAACTAAGCCATTGGCATTTGACCTTCACTGATGGGTAAGGGTCTGTGTGGATGGTGGAGCCAGTTAGCTGTGTAATGGGATATTGCCAGCATAGACAGAGGGGACTCTGTTACAGTGGGGCATGTTTCCAGTCTCTCCATCTTGTATTTCAGTGCCTCAGAACTGATTTCAGAATGGGCTAGTTGTATGGTGTGCCTGGTCACAGCCTGAATGCCAACTGTCTTGGATGTGCAGTCAGAGCTGCAGAGGGACAGCTGGGAGGGCCTTGAAGGAAAGGATGCAAGCTGTGGTTCATGATGCCTCTCTCCTTCTAGCTGAATCTCATTTGGTGCATGTTGGAAACCAGTTGGAGGAAACACAGTGTGCATCCTTGGGTTTTCCACCTGTACGCAAGTATTTTTCAGTCTCCTTTATCATGGTGTACAAAGAGCTAGTAGTAACTGCCTGTTCTAGAAAAGCCCTTTGAAATGTCAGTCCAAAGAGGTGCTCACCAGCCCCGCCACTGTCTGTCTTAGTTTTATACTCAGAATTCAAGGGTACTTCTGCTGTCCTCTATGGCATGTGGTTAATGAGGAGAGAGAGACACACGAGCCCACTACTTCCAAGAAGGGAAATTTCAATTAATGTAATTTGTAATTTATGAGCCCTCTGAGCATGGTGTAAGATTCTGTGCTTTAGGCTACAGGTCGGTCTCTCATTTCTCAGGCATTTCATAGGGATCGCTGCAGGGTACACAGAGCCACTGCTCGAGACTAACAGGTGCGTGGCTGACATCCTACGTCTTTGTTTTTACCCAGCAATAACCATGGCAGTGCTGCAGATTTTGAAGTCTTTCATCTCATGACCAGGATTTTGGATGCTGCTAACAGCCTGTGTTGCCCCCTGCCTCCTGGTGAGTCTTGGCTCTTTGGCTGTTTGGTGTAATAGAGTGGTTTTTCACATGGTCTCCAGACAGTGGCACCCGTGTGTCGTCAGCAGCCAGCTCTGGTGGAGGGCTCCCAGACTGCTAACTCCACTGTTACTGCCTCTAGGAAGCGGTTCCAGTCAGTTCCCATGTGCATGTCCAGCTGAACTTGCACCAATTGTGCTGTTGCAGGGAATTTGCTCCTTTGCTTCAGGCCTGCTTTACTGTATGGAGAGGCCTGAAGGTAAACACAAAGGAGGGTGGGTGTCTGGCTGGGTGTCAAGGGTTAGGTAGGCCCTTGAGTGCTTAGGGACTGGAAGTTTTTTTCAGGATTTTGAGAACAGACCTAATCAGGCTTTAAAATACTCTTAGCATGTGTGTGTACAATTATTCATGTAAGTGGTCATTAGATCAGTCCGTGAATATGTGGAGTAACTATTTCATGTCAGGTAATACTCGAGGAATGAAAGCAGTTACAAACACTAGTGGGAGTGGAATAGGATGATGTTTGCATAAATCAGACTGATGTAAGAAGTGCATAAGCTCCTGTTTGCCATAAACGTCTGCCCTGTGTTTACCGTTTTCTTTCCTATAGGAAGAATATCTAACAGGAGAGCATCCCTCTTAATATTTTAGATGTGCAACCCAGTGTCGTCTGTCGGCACAGTGTGGCATAGTGCCTCTCCAGAGCGTTACCATCTCATAAACAACTTCTTCTCACATTCCACGGACAGCAGCTTCCCTTCCTGTCTCCGGCCTGGGCCACTACCTTTCTTCTGTTTCTATGACTCTACTTTAGATCATTCTTAAATAGACTCTTGCAGTATTTGTCTCTACTGTGACTGGCTTATTTCAACGTTCATACTACCCTCCAGATCCATTCATTTGTCATGGATGACAAGATTTCTTTCTTTTTAAAGCTGAGTAACATTACACTTTGTGTATTTCACATATTATTTACCTGTTTATTAGTGAGCTTTTATGTATCTTGGCTAGTGTGAATAGTTTAATGAAATTAGTGTACAAATGTCTTTAAATATCTTGACTTTAATTCTTTTGGGTACTCAGAAAGATTATGGGATCATACGCTGATTTCATTTTTAGCTTCTTTGAGGAGATTCATGCAGTCTTTCATAGTGGCTGCATTATATATTCCCGCCAACAGTGTACAAGGGTCTACATTTTTCCACACTCTTTCCAGTATGCATTTTTCCACACTCTTTCCAGTATTTACCCCTGTTTTAGATGCTGAGAGTAGGAGGTAATATTCACCGCCATTTTTATTTATATTTCACTGATTAGTGATATTGACTATCTTTCCATGTAACTTTTGGCTAGTTGTATGGCTTCTTTAGGAAAAACAAAACAAAACAAAAACAAAAACAAAAAAAACCTCTGTTTAGGTCTTTTATGTGCTTAATAAAATCAGTTGTTGTTTTGTTATCAACTTATTTATTTTTATGTTTTGGATATTAGCCCCTTATCAGATTTCTGTTTTACAAATATTTTCTCCCTCATTTTGTAGCTATTCTATTACCTGTAAATGGAAGCAGAGTTTTTCTGCCCTATTGCCCGGTCCCAAATAAATACACAAGCGCTTATATTAATTATAGAATGCTTGGTCATTAGCTCAGGCTTATTATTAACTAGCTCTTACATTAAAATAGCCCATTTCTATTAATCCATGTGGCTGTAGCTTTACCGATTCCCTGGCATCTTGCTTCTTGGGCTTGCGTCTCTCTCAACTCTGCCCTTCTTCATCACAGTCTTCAGTTTGGTTGTCCCACATAACTTTATCCTGCCTTGCTATTGGCCAAACAGCTTTATTATTAACCAATGAGAGTAATACATATTCACAGAATACAGAAGGATCCTCCCACAGCATTTCCCCCTTTCTGTCTAATCAAAAAAGAAGGTTTTAACTTTAACATAGTAAAATTACATACAGCAAAACAGTTATCAAGCAAGAATTACAGTTACAATATCCAGTCTATTTGTATTTGGCAAAATTAAATCAAATACCTATCTTATCTTTGTGAGTCTAAAGTTTTGTATCTAATTTATCTTTTATCATAACTAAGGAAAACTATAATTGTAACTATCTAGTCTTCAACTCCATCAGACTACAGAAGGATGTAATGTTACCTAATGACAGGGACGTCAGGCTGCATGGACAGTCCCCTAGAGTTCCTCTGTAATGTTGGGGCATCCAACTCTAGCCTTACAGGCCTAGCATATCTAACAGAATGAGAGTGATACATATTCATAGCATATGTATTCTGTAAGGACTTTACTATTATTTTTAAATCATTTTTAAAGTCTATGACTGTTTTTTCCCTTTTTCTTCTCTCTCCCAAGCCTATGCATATTTTTTAAACACACTGTGACCCACTTAGAGGCCTTTTTGTCTAAATCTGTTCTTACTCTGTATCTTTAACCCTTTTTGTCTGAGCAAAAACCTTAATTCCACCTCGCAGCATGCTGCTGGGAGCTGCCTCTCTGTGCCGCAGCCCATGTGAGACTGTGGGAATCCCCCATGCTGCAGTTCAAGCCTGCACACCACAGCCAGGGGGTGTGTCTCTAGACCGGGCCCGCATGAGAGACATATACTAGGAAGCTGCTCTTGCTTTCATTTTTTTGTGTGTCTAAAACCCCTGTTTTTAAAGCTTCCTCAGGCTTTATGTAGATGTATGTGAGCCATGTTGGAGCACCATTTGTAAACTGTCCCCACCACCAGATCCCAAATAAACACACAAAAGCTTATAGTAATTACAGAATTCTCAACTGTTAGCTAAGACATTATTAACTAGCTCTAACATTTAAATTAACCTGTTTCTATTAATCTATGTATTGCCACGTGGTCCGTGGCTTCACTGGTTCTCTGGCATCTTGCTGTTTGGGCAGGTGGCTTGTGTCTCTCTCGACTCTGCTCTTCTTCATCCCAGTCCTCAGTTTGGTTGTCCCACATAACTTTATCCTGCCTTGCTATTGACCAAACAGCTTTATTGTTAACCAATGAGAGCAATACATATTCACAGCGTACAGAAGGATCATTTTGCTTTCCTTTACCCCTGAGGCCCTCCACCCCATCACCCTCACCCCCCATCCCCCACTCCACTGCAGGCTCAGGTAGTTCAGGATGGCTTCAAACTTTTTCAGCCAACACTGGCTGTGAACTCCTGATCCTCTTACCGCTACTCCAAGTGCTGAGATTACAGGTATGATTCACCATGCCATACATGGCTTCTCCTTTTCTATTAAATGCTATTTTTTTCATATGATAAGGGAAGAGAGGGTGAAGTGGCACTGGAGTGTGTGTGTGTGTGTGTGTGTGTGTGTGTGTGTGTGTGTGTGTACAAGGGATTAATATATGCATGTGTGCAAGGGTGCTTGCTTTTCAGGTTTATAGGATTAGTGAGCATTGTTTGAGTTTCAAGAGTCAAACACTTAAATAAAAGAAAGGAGTGAAGAAGTGGCAAATAGAGTTTTGTTTTGGGGTATCTGTTTGTTTGTTCTGATATTTCTCTCCCTGGCTACAGCAGCCCTGGAAGATGAGGATTAATGGGATGGAACTGATGGCTAGTTATAGTCTATGTGCTCTGCTGAGAGATGACATGCAGAGATGAGGCCATGAACAGGCCAGTGCACTTGGGACTGGACCAATGGAGCAGATGAAGGGTCATCGGGACGTTCAGCATGTACACAGGATTGGAGAAGGAATTTTGAATCCCGGAATAGGATTTCATGATCTAGTTTAAATGCTTTTTCAGGAATAATTTTTGACTTTATTAGTATGGGAAAGAATTTCCAAGTCCACATGAAAACATTAGTGTTGGTTAGTAATACTATAATTTGTTTTGAGTTGGGAACCTAGTGAACTCAGTCTATTTTAGCCCATTCACATCTACTTGAGGACAACATCTGCACATCATCTGACCCTTGATGTTGCCAGGAATTAGGACTGTCCCGCTGCTCATGACTCATATGCTCAGAGAGAAAATGCCATGATTTCTCAGAATGCAAACCCCACTCACTGAGCGTCATTTGTTCTGCCATATATATCCCTGAGAGCAGGCAATGGTTCTCTGTCAGCCCTGCATCCAGTCAGTTGATAAGCGTGTACATATTGCCATGGAACTCTTCCTGTACTGGCTAGTTTTATGTCAACTTGACATAAGCTAGAGTCATCTGAGAGGAGGGAACCTCAGTTGAAAAATTGCCTCTATAAGATTGGGGTGTAGGCAAGTCTATAGGGCATTTTCTTAATTAGCAGTTGATAGAGGAAGGTCCAACCCATGGTGGGTGGTGCCATCCCTAGGCTGGTAGTCCTGGGTTCTATAAGAAAGCAGGTTGAACAAGAAATCAGTAAGGAGTCTCCATGGTCTCGGCATCAGCTCCTGCCTCCAGGTTCCTACCTTGTTTGAGTTCCTGTCCCTGTGACCTTTGATGATGAACTGTGATGTGGAAGTAAAAGGGGAAATAAACTTTCCTCCCCAAGTTGCTTTGGTTATGGTGTTTCATCACAGCATTAGAAACTCTAACTAGGACACTTGGCTTCCTCTTCATTCCCCCTGGTGTCCCAGACCCTCTCGTACATGTCCAGGCCACAGTGTTCTCATGGGTCTAATCCATTCTTTGTCTGTTGGCATAGTAACATTCCAAAAGTAAAATTCAGTTCTTCGTTTATCATACTCAAAAACTTTCAGTGCTTCCTCAAAGTTTCCTGGATTGATAAATTCCTTGATAGCATTCAGCATTGGGTCCATGTTGTACGTACACATGGCATGGAACTGGTCACATGTAAATATGTCCTTATTCTTATGATGAATTAGTTGCTACCTCTACCATACTACAAAGTGAACAAGAGTGGTGATGTCACTACTACTCACCCCTGATTAGTATATGAGAGGGTACTGAATCAATTCACTTTGTCCAAACCTACCATTAATCATTGCTTTCTATCATCAGATTTCAACTCAAATGATTACCTCATGTTTCTGAATGCATCCATACTCTCCACCTTATATCTGTTCATATCGTTCTGTTAACTCAGTTATTAGTTACTGAGGTAGCATGATCCCCTGGTTAAGAACTACAATCCCACAGTCCATTTTAGGCTATTTCAACCTCTTTCTTACTATTTATAGGATACAGGGAAGTTTCTCAGCTCCTGTGAATCTCAGTTTTCCCATCTATTGATTGCATCTGATAGTGTTGGGTGTGGACCAGGTGAGCCAATGCTCACTTAGCACATGTCCAGTGTTAACATGCTGTACCATGTGCTGGGCTCTACATACCTGCTCTATTCCTTTTAATAGCCCAGAAGGAAAGCTCAGTGGTTCCATTTTAGGGATGAAGGAAGGAAATTCAGAAAGGCCAGTTTCTTAGAGCTGGTTACTTAAATAACAGCAGGATCCTAGCATAGGTCTGTTCTGCTGCCTCTGGCATTTTCAACATATTAAGTAGAGATCTCTTCAAAGATCCCCAAGGCGCTGACCTTCCAAAGAGGGGTTTTCTTATTCTCACTGGGTCTGGAATCTTCTTCCATGTATTTTTCTTTTGTTCATTGTCACTGGTAGATGACCAGAGCTCTGGGGTTTAGCCCTACTCAGGAGACTTGGGCTTGAGAGCAAGCCTTCATTTCTACTGAATACTTACAAAGTCTGATCTGGTTACGCCATCCACATTTCTTCTTTTCTATAATTTAGCCCAAGTAGACTTCAAAAGTCTTTCTCTATGAGATGACCAGAGAGTGGGCATACAAACTGTTGCCATCTGGTCCTAGGGTTTTTTTTTCATCCTTCAGCAAAATGGTCCCCATCCCAACAACCTTTTAGCTTGGGTCTATGGAGTTTCAACATCTGTTATGAAAGATGGTAAAATAATACTGACCAGGAACTTATTCTATAACCACTACGATACTCAGTTGTGGTTACACAGGAAGAGGACTTGGACTTTGTCTTAAGGGGTCAGCTAATCCAGACCCTAAGCACAGAGCTCAGAGTCTCATTCACATGATTGATTCATTTCCTCTGGAGCCTGGAAGTGCTGGCTGCTCATGTCTGCGTTTGCTCCATTCACCCTAGGTTTCCACTCTCTGCACATGATTCTTGGCGTGCACTGTCTCCCTTTGTACAATCTGCTGCACTACATTGACAATGGGGTGCTGTTGCTCACTGAAACAGCAGTTAGAAGACTTATGAAAGGTAAGCAACTCTGGGTTTGCCAGAGGGTGGATTTCAGGCAGGACACCCTCAGGATTGCCTTCTGGGTATGTGACACAGGCAGGTCCAGCTACACTCAGAAATGTCCCATTCACAGCTTGATGTTCTGAAGTATATATTGATGTTTTTTTTTTTTTTTTTTTTTTTTAGATTTCTTTATTTATTACATATACAGTGTTCTGCCTGCATGTATGACTGAAGGCCAGAAGAGGGCACCAGACCTCATTATAGATGGTTGTGAGCCACCATGTGGTTGCTGGGAATTGAACTCAGGACCTCTGGAAGAGCAGTCAGTGCTCTTAACCTTTGAGCCATCTCTCCAGTCCCTTGATGTTCTTTTTTACGAAACAAGGTTTCCCTGTGTGGCCTTGGCTGTCCTGGAACTCACTTTGTAGCCCAGGCTGGCCTTGAACTCACAGAGATCTGCCTGCTTCTGCCTCCCACGTGCTGGGATTAAAGCCATACACCATCACTGCCTTGAAGTTCTTATTATTTGAACATGTATCACTTTATTTTCTCCCTACAAATTCTTAGTACAACCCACTTCCTGGAACCATCCCCTCAGGCCTGCTGAAAGCGCGTCAGCTCTTCTAGAGGTCCTGAAGAACTTGAGTCCATGTACTGTCATTAGGTTTGTTTTCTGTATCTGAGAGTAAAAAGAGGCTGGGAGACTATGAATTTGTTTTTCAAGAAAGTATTATGAACACCTTTCTTTCAGCTAATTAATTTTGTGATTCTCAAAATTAGACTTGAAATGCGAGAAAAACTAACGAGAGATACAGTGCTTGTGTGAACCTGACCATTATGGTCTGCTTTGCAATCTTTCTCATGTGAGTCATTCATGCATGTATTTGTTAATATTGTCAAAGCATCTGCGTTCTTCAGAGTACCTTATGCTTCAAGCTAGTGGATGAAATCCGTAGTGACTGGCAGCCTGTTGCAAAATAAAAGCCCCCTTAAGTCCGAGTCACAACTAAAGCTTTCAAAACATCACTAGCTGTGAATGCAGGTTCTCAGGAGGAAACAGGATTTAAAACTTTCTGAGGTATTAAAATGGATATCTCTATCTTATTTGTTAATCTCTAACTTTCTTGTAGATCTGGACAATTCAGAGAAAAATGAAAAGTTGAAATTCGGCATCATTGTGCGGCTTCCTCCGGTAACCCTGAAATGAATTTTCCCTCCAGCCTCATCTACCCTCCTCCTTCCATTTGTCTTTTGTAAGACAAAATTTTCCTTGTAGGCTGAAATCATTAAATTATTTCACTTTTCAGCCCTTTCCATGAAATCCCATCCATCTATTTACGCAGTGTGTGATTCTGGGGCGTCGTGCTGTGGGCACAGTGTACGCAGACAGTTTGCCTGTTTCTCCTCTTACATCAGAGTCTGAGTAGGAGGGAGGGAAACATGTGCTTTTGACATTAAACTGATAAGACATTTAAATCCAGGTGAGGTCAAGGGTGCTCCAGAACTGCATTTCCCTCCTGTTACATTCTGAGCACCGGCAGACATTACCAGGTCAAAAGAATGAAAAACGTGGGGGAAATGTCAGGAAGGCACTCCTTGCTCTTTTGTGGGGATGTTAGCTCTCAGAGTCAGAAACATGATGAAATTTCACAGCAAGGTCTTTCAGCCCTCTGACTTTGCAAACTTCCGGACCCTAAGAACCTGGCCAGTGTGCTGTTTACACACCAAGACCACTGGGACCTTTGGCACTGGCCATCCTCTGCCCCTTGACTTTCTGGACCTGACGGTCTTGCCTTGTGGCTGTCACTCCTGTCACAGGCTTCCTGAGAACAAAGTACCCCCTTCCCGTGGCTCTGTCTCCCTGAGGAACAGTAGTGATGTTTAGTTTGGTCTCCAAATTTGACTTTTTTTTGACCCATATTAATTAGGGTGTTTAAAGTTTCTAGGGCAGATAATGGAAGAGAAACTGACATAAGTCCATAGCACCTTTAGTTTCCCATCAGGGCTGCCACACTCATCTCCAACTTTGAAGGATCTCAGATTCAACATCATTCCAGAAAAAAAGGAATTTGTCAGCATTGATGTAAAAGTCGCGCTCCTCAAGTTGAGGAAAGTTGAAGAAGTATTTATGAAAATTTCAGAAGCATGTCTCATGAGCTTGGCCTCTCTCCGACAGTCACGAATCACAAAGGTTCTACATTTTAGAGTAGCTAGCCCTTTGGGAATAACAGTTTGAAGTTAAAAGTAGGTATGTGGTCTGTTCCGTGCACTGTGACCTATACTCTCCTCTGTGATTTCCAACTGTACTGCAGCTTATTGGCCAGAAGGTCTGCCGGCTCTGGGACCATCCCATGAGTTCCAACAGCATTTCACGGAACCATGTGGCGCAGCTGCTGAAGAACTACAGGAAAGAGGTGAGTCTATGTGAAACACAGACAGTGAGTGTTCTGCGGATCCCACCTGCCGTTTCTACGTACCCCGATAAACACAGTTCTGTTTTTTATCATTTTATTTAAAGTTGGGTATGTCTTGGAGAAGCAATTAATATACAGGGAGTGTTTTCTCTTTCAGCCTCGACACTCTATGATTGGCAAGTCATCATTCCCAGTAGAATTTCTGCCTCTGAACTATTTCATTGAAACGCTGACCGGCCTAGAGTCTTCCCACCAAGGTAGCTGTTCCTCTGCTCCTAGGACTTCCCTTGACACGTCGGTCATTCTCTAGTGACAGCCTGTGTTGTTTCTTTCCCTAAATGCCCCCTTACAAGTTATGTCCTTACTAACACTGATTTTCATGAGAGAGAATACTGTACCTCCTAAATTACTCAAGGAGTACTTACCTTTGAAGACTGAAAGGGACTCGAGATGTTTACGGTCTGTTCTGGATGATGGGGATGCTCTTTAGTGCCAACGTTTAATGAAACTAACAACATATTCTCAGAATAACACATTTCACTAACATATAAAACTATGTTCCCAGTGGGAACAAAGTTGTAAATAGCCATGGCTCCTTAGTAACACACACTCTCTCTTCCTTCCCCAGCTCTGTGTGATTTTGAAGGCCATGACAATGTGGATGCAGAATTTGTAGAGGAAGCTGCTCTGAAACACACCACAGTGCTTTTGGGCTTATGAAAGCCAGTGTGCAGATGGACTGCTTTCAGTGTTTTAATACTGTTTTCACCTCCTTTTCCTGGGAATTCTTCAGCAGTCTTTAAAATTAATAACAAGCTGGAATATGCTTCAGAGTGTTTGGGCTTCACTTGTTCAAACAGAGCCAGCTGCTACATGCCTTTCCAGTGTGAGCAGCCAGTGAACAATCAAGAGTAATGACAAACAGTTTCTATGTACTGTGACAGGAGCAGTTCTCTTCCTGGTGGCTCAGTAGGCTGGAAACTAGTTCTGTGGCACTCCAGAATCAAATAAAAACCATAGGGGACAATGCTTAGGACAGGAAGAGCTAGACAGATCACTGGAAAAAACATAAAATGAGAAGAAAATGTAATGCTGAAAAGAGGATTTGAGAAGAACCTGTATTTGGACTAAACAAGATCTGCCATCTGCAGTATTGAGTAATTGTGACAAATCATGATTTGTACACACAGGACTTAAAGCAGCCTCTGCCTTTGTGGTGGTTTAAATGGATCTGTATGTAGCTTGAGTTTTCCTGACTGGGCACGGTCAGGACAAATCTCTGACACCCGCCAGTCCCACAGCCATTCAAACCCGACCAAGTAAACACAGAGACTTATATTGGTTACAAACTGTATGGCCGTGGCAGGCTTCTTTCTAACTGTTCTTACAGCTTAAATTAATCCATTTCCATTAATCTATACCCTGCCACATGGCTTGTGGCTTACCGGCATCTTTACATGCTGTTTCTCATCATGGCGGCTGGCAGTGTCTCTCTCACCCGGCTTCCTGTTCTCTCAATTCTCCTCTCTGTTAGTCCCGCCTATACTTCCTGCCTGGCCACTGCCAATCAGTGATTTATTCATTGACCAATCAGCAACACATTTGACATACAGACCATCCCACAGCATCTGTATTTAATTTTTATATTTATGGAAGTTTGAGTTAGTAATATCTTTTCAGTAAACATGACCTCAAGCCGGGTGGTGGCGACTCATGCCTTTAATTCTAGCACTCAGGAGGCAGAGGCAGGTGAATCTCTGTGAGTTCGAGGCCAACCTGGTCTACAAAGTGAGTTCCAGGACAGGATCCAAAAGCTACATAGAAAAACCTTGTCTCAAAAAACCAAAACCAACCAAACAAACAAACAAAAACATGACCTCAAATGCTGAAAGCTTTGGTCTGACTCTTCCCTAATTTTTGGGCATAGCCTTTTTATTTGCACAGCACATTTTGAGCCCATCAGTCTGTTCCTGCAGGAGCCCATGACACTGACTAGGCGTTCTATCCTTTCTCATCTGTGTCCTACAGCGACGTCACCCTGACCCATAGGTCTCAGCTTCCCGGTTCGGTTCTGCTTTTCTCCTTCTGCTGTTTCCGTTTCTCATGGTGAAATTTGAATGATTCTAAATGTTGTAACACATATGCTAATTCACCTTATTTTCTGCAAGCTTCGTTGTGCTCTCAAAGCTATCCTAGCCTATAGAAGTTCCCTTTTGTCTTCACATGGTCAGGCAGGCTCAGAATCTTGGTACCAGATCAGCAATGTGGAAATACTGTATATTTGCATTCCTTGTGTTACAAATTCCTCTGTACAGGAGACAGCAGATTTTATTTAGTTCAAATTAAATAAAAAAATCCTCTTTGCAAGTTCAATTCTTACAGAACATTTAATTGTGCTTTCAACAGTTCATCCACTCTTTGCTATTCTGAGTTCCCTTCCCTAGGTCTTTGGAGTAGATGGATTCTCTTCCATTCGTTGCTTTTCATCATTTCTGCTCACACCTGCATAGTTCCTGTGGTTTCCTAGTTGAATTTATTGGACACATATTTGAGGTAAACATCCGTTTGACTTTGACACTGGGCTTATAATTAATTATTCAATAACTTGCTATTCATTGAAGGGTAACATACAAACTCCTTGGCATTTACCTCTGAAATTTTGACCCTGTAAAACATGAACATTCTTTTGCAACCAAGCCAATTCATTAAGCCTTGGAACATGAGTTTGGCTTTTTTTATTTCTAAGGTTGGATCAGGTTATTTCTTCCACCTGTAATCCTTCTCACAAATAAATAACATCATGCTCCAGGGCTAGATAAACACACACACACACACACAAACACACACACACACACACACACACACACACACACACACACACACACACACACACACATCTGACTGTATCCGAGACATTTCAGTACATGGTGGCTTCTACCTTTTCTCAACCAGTAGCACACATTGCAGTGTTTAAGAACCCATCCCTTTCCACTCTTACGGCATTTAAACTTCCTCTGTGCGTGTTTCTGAATCCCTAAAGAGGTTACTAATTCCTATAACACAGGAACTGTTTAAGTGTGTAGTATTTCTTTTACTAGCTAAATGGCTTGTACAACTGAAAGCACTCACAAGCTGTTTGCTTTGCCATGATCTTGTAAGATAATGAGGCCAAATTCAGGACTCACAAAATGAGAGTAAATTTAAATTCCCATCCAATATGGCAGAATATGGCTTGGAACAGGATGCTGGATTTAGCACAATATAAGTATGGTATTTCTCAGTCTCCTAGAACTGGACATGAATGAAATTCATAACTGCAACCAGCACAAAAGAAATAGCTTAAGCATATTAGTGAATGTAAAAGTACAGGTCTCGCCGAGCGGTGGTGGCGCACGCCTTTAATCCCAGCACTCGGGAGGCAGAGCCAGGCGGATCTCTGTGAGTTCGAGGCCAGCCTGGTCTCCAAAGCGAGTTCCAGGAAAGGTGCAAAGCTACACAGAGAAACCCTGTCTCGAAAAACCAAAAAAAAAAAAAAAAAAAGAAAAAAAAAAAAGTACAGGTCTCACATACTAGTGAATCATCATGTGTAATAAAATTACTGGAATCAGAAAACTACATGGGTGATACGAAAATTTGAGCAAATAAGTAGAACTATTCTTATAGAAGCTGTCAGTATAAAATTTTGGCAGAGATTTTGAAAAATCAAATATCAGAACTTAAAATGATCATGAATTTGTTTGCAGATAACATGAAAAAAATATTTTTAAGAAATAAATTAGGGCCTAAATATTTTTGTAGCAAAAGAACCCCTACAAAATTGAATTGCAGTAGTGTTCCTTGAGTGGCAAGCTTCACCATTGCCCTTTATATGGACTTCAAGTGCTGCTGCAAAGAGGACTGTGCCATGTGTCACGTGGGCTAGTTCCCCTCTCCGGAAGTCACATCAGGGACACATAAATGAGGACCTGTTTTCACTCTAATTTCTGTACTTCTCTGAGAAGCCATTTATTTTGTACTTTTACAGCATCTTGTGTACTGTACATTCCTGAAGCATAGTCAATATAAACGGTGAAAAAGGAACACATGAGCAATGAAAATACACTTAGATATAACTGTAGTCTGCGCCATTTAACGTCAGATAGCAGGAAGTAGTTGGTGAACGTAAGCGGAAATCATGGCCCACTCTATTGCTGACTGTACCTAACTGATAGCAGGATTAGTGCTATGATGCTCATTCTCGACTGGAGGTATGAAGCCTGGCTGAAGTCTTCTCGTGAGAAGCCTGGATTGGTTCACATGTTTAGATTTCAATGGGCTTTACAGCAGGTTTCCTTATGTGCCTCCTGTTGGCTCCAGTTTCAGAGGGCTTAAATGGAGCCAGCGCACCGTACGGTTTGGGCAGAGGAAGCGTGGTTTCTGCTTCAGGCATGTAGGCATTGGGACGCTGCTCTGCAGTTGTGTAAACCCCATTGGGCAGCTGCCGGTAATCTGTTTCCATGTACTCCTGCAAAGGGAGAAGTTTTCATTTCAGTTTTCTGAGAGCACTGAACTTACTTCCCTTGGGTCCTGAAAGAGCAGCTGTAGGCTCTGCTGGCTGACACTCACCTGTGGTCGGTTTTTATTTTTACTCCTTGGGGGCCCACCGCCCAGCTCCGAAATAAATACACGGAGGCTTGTTATTACTTAAAATAGCTTGGCTTATTTCTAGCCAGCTTTTCTTAACTTAAATTATCCCGTCTACCTTTTGCCTTTGGGCTTTTTACCTCTCTTTATTCTAAATATCTTGTTTTTCTTCTTACTCCATGGCAGTGTGGCTGTATGGTTGGTATCTGGCACACTTCTCTCCTTCTCCTTTTCTCACTCCTCCTCTTTCTTCTTCTCCTATTTATTTCCTCTGCCTGGCAGTCCTGCCTGTTTCTCTTTCCTGCCTAGCTACTGGCTCTTCAGCTCTTTATTAGACCAATCAGGTGTTTTAGACAGGCAAAGAAACACAGCTTCACAGAGTTAAACAAATGCAACAAAAAGAATGCAACACATCTTTGCATCATTAAGTTCCACAGTGTAAAAGAATGTAAGACATCTTAAACTAATACTCCACGACACCCACCAGAGGGAATGAGTACAGGAGTGTGAAGCCCACCCCCACCTCTGTTGCCTGTCATCTGAAAGGGTGTGGGCACAGCTCAAGCATCTTGCTGATGCTGGAGCTTAGTGTGGGTCAGAAACTGCTCGGTGGGTTCCACATGCACTGTCCTCTAACTCACTGTCTGTCACTGAGCTCTTTATTATTTCCACATTTTTGACAAAAGGAGTAATACTTTTCCTCTGCCGCTGGGGAGCAAATATTAATACAGAAATGATGAGAACTGGCGTCAGAAGGAATGGCAAGCAGTGTGGTTTGACCTCAGGGTCCTCAAAGTTCTGCCAGTGTTTATGGAAAACAACTCCCTAAAGCACTAAAGTGAACTGTGTGAGAGAAAGGCAGAGGGACATGACAGGGGAGCCCTGAGTGCCCTAGGAAGGATGGTCCCAGGTAGTACAGAAGTTACAAGTCAGACCCCATGCTCAGGTGTTCCTATTATGTGTATGTACCTTTTAAAGTCTTGGATTAGAAAGTGAAACATGATCTTTGCAGAATCATTCATGTGACAGTCTAAGCAAACTGTATCTCCATGATATAGTCATCTATGGAAAAGATGCCTCATTCTAACCTTAAAACTATTGAGAGATCATGGAATTAGATGGATGAACAGGAAACCAAACGTGCTGGTGGCTTCCATGACTGAGCAAGACCTTGGTTGCTGGGGAGGAGAAAGGGGTAGCATGGAGGTCTATGATACATACCAGGTGTGGTTCTGTAGAAGGCTGTAGTAACCACAATATGGCTGTGGAGGCCACGATATATGGACATAGGTGTGGTGTGATGGACATGGTCCAGTGTGGTGTGAGCAAGTATTTGAGCAAAGACACAGCCACGTTATAGGTAAAGCCAATGTTAGAATGGTCACAGTCATGCTGAGAGAGGGCCACAGTGTTCAGTCACGACAGTCCAGGGTATGGCTGGGATGGGACTTGATGCTTGTCGGGGTTCTTCAGAGAGAAGGCAGTGCTTTGGACTACTAGTACAAAGTCTTTTCCACACACCAAACTTTTTTCTAATAATAATTCAGACTATGTGTGTTAGAGTGGAAAAATTTCATATATAGGTTGAGCTTGCCTAATATAAAACCCTGAGTTCCAAAATGTTTCAAACTTTTTGAGGATTGATATGATGTCACAAGTAGATTATTCCATACCTGATGTCATATTATGACTGCAGTCAAAATATAAATATACTAAAATATTGTATAAAAATCAGCCCATGTGTATGAGGTTTAAATGAAATGAGTGAATCTGGGATTTAGATGTGGGCCCTAAATATCTCATGAAAATCATAGGAAGTTCAAAACATCTTTATGACCAAGCCTTTGAGATAAGGAGTCATCCACTGTATCATGAGAGGACAGACTATGAAGGCAACCTCTCTTGGCGCACTGTGCAGTATGGGGTCAACACTTACCCGAGATTTCTCGGCGGTGGCAAAGGCATACATTTCTTCATCTCGAAGCACCTTCAGCCAGTCCTTCTCAATCTCTCTGTTGAGTGGCAGGCCCTTTTCTATCCTGGAACTGCAGGAGAAGATGAATTCTTCTTTCTCTCTCACCTCCTTTTGGAGTTCAATGGTCAGGGCTTGTGTCATGGACAGCTCAGCAACAAGAGCCATCATTTTCTCAGTAGCATCTTTGATCCTTTTTTGGTAGCCATTCATCTAGAATTGAAGAGCCGAAGGTTTAGTAGGTATAGATAGTCCATGAGGATGTGGAGAAAACAGCTACCTGGTATGGGCAGTCTTCCCTGGAGGAATAGGGATTGACTGGAATTCATAGAAAATCCAGGGCTTGAACCTGTTCTACTCACTTTTCTGTTGCCGTGATAAAACAACAACCAAAAGAGACTTGTGGAGGAAAGGGCATTTGGCACACACTTCCACTATTGGGGGAAGTCGGGGCAAGAATTCAAGCAAAAGCCACAGAGTAATACTGCCTATTGGCTTATTCTCTGACTCTGAGCATGACTTGGGTCATGCTCAACTGGCTTTCTTACACAGCCCACACCTAACTGTCTAGGGATGGCACCGCCCACAGAGGGCTAGGCCCCCAACATCAACGTCAGTCAAGACGTTCTTTCATTGATATGGCCGAGGCCCATCTGATCTGAGCAGTGGACGTTCCTTCTTCCCAAGTGACCACAGGTTCTGTCACACTGACAAGACTATCCAGGACGGAACCCAACATGTCTGTTGCATGAAAAAGAAAAAGCAAGGAAAGAGATGAAAAGGAAGTTGTTTCTGCTTCCTAGCTTCCAGGTTGGAGAGCACTGAGGGGTGGCTTAGTGCTTGTTTATAAGGAGGAGAGGGGGTGTTCTTGACACCTGAGTTCTGGCCTACTTGTAAGCTCTGGCTCAAACGATAATTCAGGCTTATCAGTTTGAGCCTTTGCAGCCATTTGGGGGCTCTTCTGGTCACTCTGTTTCTCTAGTATCACAAGTAATTTCCAGAGACTCTGCTATCAGCTTTGAAAAAATGTCTCTCAATGAAAAAGCGACTTTCTCTCAAGAGAGAGGCATTCCTTGTGCAAAGGAAAGGAAGGAGACATGGGAGAGGGTGTTAGTTCAGACAAAGGTCATTGGCTTAAATAGATCTTCTCTTTTCTTTAGGAGGCCAAATTGTATATAGAATTGGGCTTCCCAGTGCAGAAATGCAAAGGCCACATGGAAATGGTGTTCTCAACACTTTTTAAGGTGAACTTTCACAGTAGTTTCCAATACAACTTGACAAAACTGTCTCTAGAACAGGACTGAACGTTTACTTGTTTACTCAGGATCGTTTTTTCTAGCGTCTATTATATGCAAGACACTTAGAAACTAAAAGAGGAGGGAAGTGTCCCTACCGTCTGGAGCCTGGTCTGGGGTGTAGCAACCCTTCACCCTTATCAGACAGGACAGGTGGACTCACGGTGGTGTGGACGTAGACCCAGTCACCTTCACCTGTTCCCCTTTCTCATGCCGCTAAGAGAGTGTGCCCCTTCTCTCTCTGTGTCTGCCTCAGGAATGGTAGGACAGTACATAGCAAGTATTCAGCAGCTACTGCCGAGTGTTAAAGCCCTCTTCTGGACAATGCTCAAAGGTCCCACAGAAGCCAGGCCAGTGCACCATCCTCTACAGGGTATGGTATGATCCTGTCACTTTTAGCCACCAGCCTGCCTCCTGCCAGCTGTTGCTTTTAGTAGTGCCTCCCCTAGCAGCTTCGAATCTCCAGTCAGCCTGGAATTGTGTGGCTGCTGTTCTTCAATTGTCCCGTTCCATCTGTGGGTTCGGGCTGAATTCTGCACTGGAGCAATTCCTACTCAGACCACTGGAAAAGGGAGGCTTTCTGCTCAGAAAGAAATAGAAAGGGTTTGTACACAAACTACAAAGATAATAACTGTTCTGTTTGAGAAGTTCTCTTGCTAAGTAAAACTTAAGTACTGTCCTTGAGAAGTTTAGGCTTTCCTTCCGGTGAAGTGGATTTACTCAGGGATTAGACCGAAGCTCGTTTTAGACTAATATTTACATTTTGCTATATTTCTAGACTAATAAAACTTCATCTCTCTAGTGTTTCTCAACAAATTCAGAGTGAAAATGAGAGGAGATAGCAGAAGTTGGGGCTGGGAGAGAGGGAAGTCGGGGAAGGTGGATTCCCTCAGGCAGACCTTCTTGGCTAAGAGCAGCGTGTCCTCCTTGCAAGACTGTGTTTTGCCTCTGAGTCTGTTTGTGAGCTGGGACACCTGCTCATAGATGAAATCCTTCTCCAGTAACTTCTCCTCCTTCTTAGCCAGCTGAAGTTCCAGCTACAGTTGGAAACAATTTCAGCAGGAGTTAAAAAATGACTTATGAATTCAGTCTCCATTCTCAGTCTGTCCTCCACCCCACAATAGAGACACATTGCTCCCTTAGTTGGGAAAACACCTCTGAAAAGTCCCTGGAGCTGGACCATGTCAAGAGACACTGTGGCAGCTCTTCCACCCTGGGTGGACTATGGCCCTCTGGCTCTTTATGGTACCCACAATGCTATTCTTTCCAGATGTTCCCACATGGCAAATTAACTTATTCATTTGAGAAGTCAAAATTGGGCTAGGAGAGAATGGTGCCTTTGAATGATCAAACTACTGAGTCTTTACTTCTTTGGGTAAATATCTGAATCAAAGGATTTAGAACTACATTAAAACTAGGGAGCAGCTGTGGCTGGAATAATGAAGGCTGGGTCTGTCAGCCCAGGGGTTGACAGTGCTGCTGTATCCGTGAGCAAAAAGATGCACGTTTAAACAAGAGCACTTACCATGTCTAATTTCTTGATCATTTCTTTTTCAGTCGGGTCTTTCCCCGGAATGAAGCGGATTCTGCCCTCACTGTCAGGATTTACAAACCGTTTCTCCAGGTCTTTTATTTTATCTGCACACTGTGAAAACTATTGAACAAGAAACACACATTAGCTGTAAATTAAACTCTCTAGCTTAGTAAATCTTCAAATTATGTAGGCAAGATCTTTAGCTCATTTGTGGAACTAACTATACAGATGGTGTGTGGAATAGACCCTGCATGGGAAGGCAGTGTCTGTCTGTCTGTCTGTCTGTCTCACTAGAGAGAAGGCTGAATTCCTAGAAGCCCTTCTGTTGCTTCCAATTGTGTGTGACCTTCCTGGGGTGCTGTGTGGTTCAGAACCGGAAGTAACCGTGTTGCTTCAAGTTGGATTCCTTTGTTGCCAGCGGCCTCAATGGCATCCCAAAGAAGGAAGTCAAAACTGTAGGGCCAACCCAACATGTACTCTGTGAACAACAGTCTCAGCCACTTGTGTATTTTTTGTTAAAATGCCTTTGAATAGATTCTAGCTGTTGAAACACTGAGACATGGAGGTGAATAGAGATAATAAGAACAATAGTCACACTTAGTTTTAAAAGGGGAGATGTGAGCATAGTGATAATCCAAAGGCCTTGCTTCCAGCTTCCTCACCATTGTGTGGCTGCTTTTCAGGAACTTTTGGTTCTTCAGTTGGCAGATGGCAAAGGTGAGGCTTGATCCCATGAGGTGAAACAATAGACATTAGTACTGTGGTTCTCAACCTCTGGGTCACGGCCACCAGAAAACACATATTTCCAATGTGCTTAGGAACTGAGACACTGCTCAGTAGCAAAATTCCAGTTATGAAGTAGCAATGAAAATAACTTTATGGTTGGGGTCAGCACAAATGAGGAACTGTATTGAAGGGCCACAGCGTTAGGAGGGTTGAGAAGCACAACTTTGGTGCTTTAGACCAGACCCAGGAGTGACACAGATAGAACTACAGAATTTTAATTGATAGTATTCTTCTCTACAATCAGAATTTTAACAGGTGACATTTAAAAATAGTGACAGAAATTATTAGTGACACCTTAATGTTTCCTTAGTTTTTTAAATTAGGAAACTAAGAAATAAATATGATACTTTCTTATGAAAACCAGTGCCTCTAGAGGGCTGGACAGATGCCTCAGCAGTTAAGAGCACTGGGTGCTCCTGCAGAGAACCTGGGTTTGGTTCCCAGCACCCAAGTGGCAGCTCACAACCATCTGTAACTCTAGTTCCGGGGCATCTGCTGCCCTCCTCTGATCTCTGTGGGCACCAGGTGTGCATGTTGTATACACATACACACATGCAGCCAGCATGCTCAGACCTATTAAACAAAATAGACCTAAAACAAAAGCAAACTAATGCCTCCACTTACATTTTCCACTGGGAATTTAAGGGAATATTTTCACTTTCCTTAAAAAAACAATGGGCCGGGCGGTGGTGGCGCACGCCTTTAATCTCAGCACTCGGGAGGCAGAGCCAGGCGGATCTCTGTGAGTTCGAGGCCAGTCTGGGCTACCAAGTGAGTTCCAGGAGAGGCGCAAAGCTACACAGAGAAACCCTGTCTCGAAAAACCAAAAAAAAAAAAAAAAAAAAAAAAAAAACAATGTTCTTGTGTCTTACAATAGCTCATGAGATTTCCAGGACTCCTAAAATGGGGCTGTTCCTACAAGGTCCAGGAGAACATGATTCATGATAACCCTTGGGATTCATCTGTTGGACAGTTAAAAGCTGTTTCAAAATAACCAAAAAGAAAAAAGCAATCTGAAAATGATGTAAAACGGGAAAACAGGACAAATGGGGCAGCGAAAGCTGAAACCAGGATGCGTCAAGAACCCTGGAGACAGAGTGCAAGTGTGGCCAGCCCGAGCCAAGCGTGGCCAGCCCGAGCCAAGCGTGGCCAGCCCGCGCTCGGCCTCTCACACCGTCTTCCCAGCGCAGTTTGAAACAGAATGGGTGGCTCTGGACACACCGGCTCCCAAGCCTGGGTATGGTCCACAGGTCTGTATGCAGCCAAGACACAGAATTAATACATAATCGTTCCCTCTTGTTAAAACTGAATTCTTGCCTTGGAGGAGGTGGGAATGAGGGGTGGATTGTGGGGGAGGACTGGGCGATGGGAGGAGGGAGGACAGGGGAATCCGTGGTTGGTATGTAAAATCAATAGAAAATACCTTAATAGAAAATTTTTGTTAAAAAAAACTGAATTCTTAGTTCACAGTGGGTAGCTGATTATTTCTAAGAATGAGTAATTTCTTACAATTAAAGCTTCTGAATTATGTAAATGTCAAAAACTCAGGAAAGAGAGGATAATGTGGTGACCTTTCACACGCTTGTCTCTCAGCTCCGGCAATTCCCAGCACAGCTTTCTTGTTTCGTCCCCTCTGCCACTTCCTCCACGTACCTGCGGGACCACTTTAGCGTCAATCCCGCACATCATCCACGTTCATCTGCGTGTCTCTGAGGAAACCGGCTTCCTTCTTTTTTTTTTTTTTTTCTGATACAGGGTCTTATTGTGTAGCCTCAGCTGACCACAAAGTCCTAGGAATTCTCCTGCTTCACCCTCTCAGGTGCTGGGATTACAAATATGCACCATCACACTCAATTTAACACATAAGAATTTCAGATAAAATTTAACCACAGTATCATTTCTCATATAAAATGTTCCCATCTCTTTTATATATGTTCACTGAGTTTCCAGTTTCTCCACTGTTGCATAAATAGAGCGTATACTAATGCCTGTAATGTGATATGTTGGACCAAGTTTCTTCAATAGATATATAAAAAATGAAAAAGAGGAAGAGCTTTAGTAGACACATCAACCAAGTGCAATAAACGGTAGAAGAACGATTAGCCTTGTCTGTGGATGTCAGTCCTGACTTGCAGCTAACCTGAAAAACATGCTCATGTAATGGGGAATCTGGTCTGTTTGACAGCTTGTTCAAGTCCCTTTTAGACATCCCGGAGTTCCTCATGGGCAAAGACAAACCTGAAGCTGTATATTGGGAAAGTGCTAGAGAAGGTCAAATTATTCTGTAGAACAGAGCGGAGCATGCTAACTACAGTCACTGAGTTATACTGTAGGACGGTGAGGCCCGAAGCAAGTGGAATGGGAAAGCTGGAAAGATGAGCCATGAAACACAGAGCACCTGGAGAGCCCTGCACCATGATGGGGTGGCCCCAGAGAACTTGGAGGAGTATGGTTTTCTGAGGACTAACATGGAGTTCTTTGCATTTCTGGAATGTATCCTCACACACTGCTCTCAAAAATATTCAGTAAAATCTGTCAGGGGCTTTGCATACATGGTGTTGTATAGACTGAGGAGAACAGCCATCTATAGCCTACCCTGACAGAACACAGAAATGGAGCAGGTACTGCATACAGGCTGACCATTTTTGGAAGCTGGAGTCAGAGCCAGGGAATAATGGGGAGATTGTTCCTGAGCCTTGATGGGAGCGAACTAGTCAATTGATCTAAATGGGAGCAATTATGGCTAAAAATCAGGCTAGCATTGCTATAAATGACCCTGATGAAGTTGCACAAGCTGAAAGATGCTATCTGTCATCTGTATAAAGTTTAACTATCCCAATGCATTCAAGTATGGAAGCAGACCCTGTATACAGTTCCACAAATCCTTTGCATGAAGTTAAGTAAAAAACTGAAGTTAAATGTATGCTGAAAGAGGAGGCTTGATCTCAGATTTCTGACTATTTTATTAATTATTCTTGGGGAAAGATTTTTTTTCTTTAACATTTTGTTCCTTTTCTACTTTAATGAACTGAACACACCTTAATTTAATAACCAGAAAATAAATCCAAAAGCAAGGGTGGTACTTTAAAATACAGGATAGAATTTGTTCCTGCAACCTTGAGACAGAGGGGAAAAGTGTAGGTCACAAATACATTGGTCCAACTTTTTATATTTCATAAAATTATCATTCCATGTGAAGAAAGTAGGCTTCTGTCCACATATTTGTCTTTGTTGTTGGGAACCACAGAGGTTAGTGAAGAACCTGCTGTGTGTGACTGCAGACTGAGAAGTGGTAGTTCTAGGATTGTCATTCCTCCACTGAGCATCAGGCTCACAGTGGTGGCATTTCCTGTCATCTTCGTACTCAGCAGGCTGAGGCAGGGAGGTTGCAATGAGTCTGAAACTAGCCTGGGCCATATAGGAGTATCAGACAACAAAGGCTACAAGAGCCTGCCTCCACAAGCTAGAAAGACTAAATGTTATACCCTACAGGTATCGAGAGCCTAGATTTCTCTGGACGGAGATATAGGAATGATGAACTAGGGCTAAATCCTGGGATGGCCCAGATTCCAAGAAGCATAGACAATGCTTCATGAGAAAAAAAAAAGCTGTATAGCTCAGATTCCCAAAACCCCATCCTGGAGGAGCATTCAAAGCTTGTTCAAACATCGTAGAACTTGTAGTAGTTACCAGCAGTGCTGTAGCTTGGCTTCCACGCAAGAACCCACATCATCTACAAACTAACAAAGGAAAAGACAAGCCAATGGCCTGGGGCACATGCCCCTGACCACTCACCCACCTGGATCTGGAGCACGGCCAGGTCAGCATCAAGGGCCCTCTTGGTCGGCAGTAATTTCTGTGTCACACAAATCTGCCTTTGCTTCTCGGCAATCTTCAGTCTCAGGAATCGGATTTTTTCATCCAGGATGTGGATTTCGACATCCCCATGAAGTTTCATCTTCTCTTGGATATTTATTTTTTCATAAAAAATGCACACTTCTTCCTCACGCTCTATCAGCTGAACACCACTATGGTCAAATTCAGAGCAGGGGTGTAAGTGGGTGCTGAGGCCTCTGTTTCCTAGTTATTGTGGTTCCCTCTGGCTTTGGGCTCACGACACATCAACACAACAGAATTTCAGAACATAGTTTCATGTCCCAATGGATTGCTAGTTAAGCTCTGCACACTGGATCTTCCTGGGGATAAGAGTGTTGGCATCTCCATTCACAGCCAGTTGTGCAGCAGGACGGCCGCAGGATGGCCGCAGGATGGCCACAGGATGGCCACAGGATGGCCGCAGGATGGCCGCAGGATGGCCGCAGGATGGCCACAGGATGGCCACAGTGGCTTGATGAGCTCTCAAGGTTTCCCAGGGTAGGGGAGGTCACTCCCAACATGTGAACAAAACAAAACTCAAGCCTGATTTTCTGCACATATTTTTTGGGGGGCCAGACTTGCCAAGCAAGGCTTAGAAGCCCCAGGCAATAGTCCCAGGAACGTGATTCTGGAGTGAGCTGCCAGGCCCATAGGCTCTTTGAAAAGTGAGTGTTCCTGGTGCTGGTTCCCAGTAAGTAACCTGCCCTTTGTGACCACGCTGACAAGTGCAATGGGAATACCCCTCCTTGAGAGCAAGCCACTGGACAGAAACAAAGTGAGAATTTTTTCCTCCCAGCAGCTTGACCAGGGCCTGGGAACAAACACTCTATTTATCCATAAGCTGTGGCTTGTGCCAGGAGCCAAATAGGATTTGGGTTTTTTTTTTTTGTTTTTTTTTTTTTTTTTTGTGTGTGTGTGTGTGTGTGTGTGTGTGTGTGTGTGTGTGTGTGTGTGTGTGTGTGTGTGTGTCTTTGTTTTTGTTTTAACCCAGATAACATTTATTAGCCCTTTGAAAGAGTTCTGTTTGTCAGGGACCCTAACGATCTTCCCACACCTCCTGTATATCCATTACTGCAACTGCTACCTTTACTTTTCCTAAATCTTCCCTTCCCTCCAATAGTGTGCCTGCGGTTGAACCTGGCTGACCTTAGCACTCCATTCTGCCTGATTGGTTTTTCTGTCAAAGCTGCTTTTTATCAAATTCCCTTGATGACAAAAGCCAACAGCAAGGAGTTTTAACATTCTGTCTCCTCAGGGGCTAGCACTCCACTGCTTTACAAGAAATAACACACAGATCTCATGAAATTTAAATTATTTCCGGACTCAGTCATCCCATCTACCAATTTCTCATAACACAAGCAACTGTGGTGGGGTGGGACTGTTGAAAGAGTCACATTGTTAATAACATGCCTGCAGGCTGGAAAACATAGGCCTCTCTCCTAAGCCTTAGTTACTTATGGAGAGGCTAAATGCTGCCCAAATGGATAGTTGTCACCAAGACTGACTCACATCAGTTGATGCAGAAAAAATTCATTGTTATCCTAGAGCAGTGGTTCTCAACCATGGCATGACCCCTCTGGGGGTCACATTTCAGATATCCTGAATATAAAATAGCAGATGTTTGCGTTATGATTCATCACAGTAGCAAAATTACAGTTATGAAGCAGCAACAAAATGATTTTCTGGTTGGGACCAGCGCATCATGCGGAACTGCACTAAAGGGTCACAGCATCAGGAAGGTTGAGAACTGTTGTCCTACGGTCTCAGAGACCGATCTACAAATGCCTCAAACCCTCCTTTTTACTTCCCTTCCACAGACAGCCTGTCTTGTTTTTTGTGAAGAACACACAGCTCCCTCCCAAGAGTAAAGAAAATGGCTCCACTTCAGTAGGCTCCCTGGGCGCTCAGCCCAAGCCATTGGCGATCCGTACCTTTCGTTCCGACGCTGCACGGCCTTCTCATACTTTTTACGCAGCTGCATCATCTCCTCCTCAATCATGGTGATCATGCTGGCCAGCCTGTCCATGCTGTTCAGCTGGGCCTCCTTCTTCTCCTTCATTTCCTGAAGTTTAGTGGTGATTTTGCACACGTCATTCTGCATGCTCTCCCTGATGGTCACATTGTTGGAATGCTTCAGCATGGCGTTTTGTAGCTTTCTTTTAAAATAATGGCACAGTGCGGAAGATCATTATTTTCTTCAAAAGTACTGAAGGTGTCTGAAAAACAGTTCTCAAAAGTGTGTCTTCTGAAATGACATCACTACGCAATGCTTTCGGGACTTCATGCGAACTGCTTTGTTGTGGGATCCCCCCTCCAGCCAGACGAGGATACCGTCATGCCTACCACCATGACACACTCTTTTGTGAAAGGGGCCTTTGCTGCTGTCAGCTCAGGAGACTGTTCTGAAGACAGAGGTGTCCTATTGACAATGCCTACCGGACCTGAGGACTCAGACTAGGAGCAGGGGACACACTGCGTGAAATCACAGCCTGTATGTGGTATTTTAATTTCCTTTCTAGTAAGAATCTGAGTGGGAAATTTCTCTTTTTCAAGCACGCTTTTCAAATCTTTATCAAAGTCAACTAGGCAATAATGGCCAAGAGAAAAATCCAGTTACGTAGTCTCAGGCAATCAGGGAGGTGACAGAGTAGACCTAGGCCTGTGGTGAACATTATTCCTGGAATTACTACATAGATGGACTCATTTAGCAACAAAAGGTCCTATACAATAATGCCGAGGATTATGTACAAGGAAAGAGTCCAGAGAAGTAGCGTGGCTTGCCCGAGGTCCCACAGACAGTAACTGCCAGAGCTGTGAGTTTAGTCTAGAAAATGCTGCTCGTAGGATCTACTGTAGCTTCCCACACGCATTACAACCAGGGATGCCGCCTAAGAAGTAATTTGGCTTCTAACTTCAAATGCGGATTATGAGATTCATACTTTTTTTTTCTTAGTTGAGCAAATGAACATCATCAGATCATCATAGTAAACATAGTTTTATATTAGAGTTTTCCATTCATTAAAATTTGTGACACTTAGATAGAAAACAAGAAGCATGCCCAGGGCCTGTGTCATTACCCGAGAAGCTAGGTGTGTGAATATGCTTTCCCATTTCTGGAAGCCTTGGCCTCTTCTATGACCAACAGGATATTCTAGAGTCCCAAAGACACCGAAGACAGGGCTTTGGGAGGACTCAGGCTGGCAGGATTCTTACCTTTCTAGAGAGACAGCACTGTTCCTTAAAATTTCCAGTTCATTTAATGACATTTTGTGTCTTTCTTTTATTTCATTCACTTTCTGATGAGCTTTGTGAAGGAGGTTAACAAACTTATTTCTTTCATTTCTAATTGTGTCATACAGCTTGGCAAATTCTTTGAGTCTGTGAAAACATGAAGTGGTTTTTTAAAATTGAAAAATAAATAACACCTTTCCCCTAATCAAATAGATAAATCATGACAAAATTCTTTTACCTCCGATGAATTTCATATTTTTTCTTCTTGTATAGTCTGATTTCAAGGTCCTTTGCTTTGATTTCCTTAATGACATTGGAATGTTTTTGCTGAAATGTAAAAAATTACGTGTGAAATAAAGAAAAACAACCAGAAAACTAAGTGTGGTGGCTCCTGTCTGTAATTCCAGCACTGGGGAAACTGAGGCAGCAGGACTGCAATGAATTCAGGATCAGCCTATGACACATACTAAGAACCTATCTTGAAAATCCAAAATCAACAAGAAAAAATACAACATAAGAGCACTCTGCTGGAGATGACAGGCCGCACTAGTGAAAGCCGTGAAACTGTGCACTGGTGGCTGTGGAGCGCCCATGGGACTGGACTAGGTCCTCTGGATATGGAAGACAGTTGTTTGGCTCAAACTGTTTGGGGGCACCCAGGCAGGGGGATCGGGATCCATCCCTGGTGCATGGGCAGGCTTCTGGAATCTGGTGTCTGTGGTGTGATGCCTTGGTCAGCCTTGGTGCAGTAGGAAGGGGCTTGAACCTGCCTAGGCTCAGTATGCCGGACTCTGCTGACTCCTCATGGGAGACCTTGATTTGGGGGATGTGGGGATGTGGGGTGGCTTGGGAGGGAGGGCTAGGGGTGGGAGGGGGAGGAGGGGGGATCTGTGGGTGGTATGTAGAGTGAGTAGAAAATTTCTTAATAAAGAAAAATGAAAAGAAAAAAAAAGTACTCTGCTGAACCCTGCTCCATTCACCTCTGTTAATCTTTCCTAACCTGCTGGGTTGGACAGACAGGGAGAACAGGAGAAAGCTGAGAGCTGCCTGGCCTGCTGAAGTGATTCCCAGGGTTGCTTAAGATCTAGGAAGAAGCAGAGAGGATAATGGAGCCTGCACAGACAGGGTGGGGAACCTGGGGCACCATGAGAGAAGAGTGACTGTAGCCTGCACTGACAAATGCCGTGACCTGAACCCTCAATGGCATTTTGTGAGACTGAAGCAATGGTTTAAAGTGCAGTTGTGTCCTTATGTGCTCATGGGTGTATTTACCTTTATATCAGGCACCATGTCGAAGCCAGCTGTAAAGCTGTATATAAATATATTAAAAAGAAAACAGTTATACCTTCAAGATCCTAAAAAACAATATACCAAGTGCTGAATGTATTAGTGATGCTCTTTAGATAGAAAATGCCTGGTGGGTCCTTTCTCTGGGATGCAAAGCAAGAGTCTCTGTGGATAGCATTGGGTGGGGGGCGGGGGCAGCTTCAGTCATCCTCCATCAGGACAGGCAGAGCAAAATCATTTGGCCTGGTGATGCCTAGACAGTATGGATACACAATGATTTTATTTTGTATAACTTTCACTGAAAATGGGAGTCGACAAGCTAAGCTTCAAGTACATGAAAAGAATAAAGCAGGTGTGAGATGTAGCACAAGCTGTGCTGCTTTGCAGGTGACAAAAACATCAACAGGAATCCCCACCCCAGGCACCTTATTTAGTTTTTAAAAAGAGATGTAGATATTATGCAAATTAATAAGATTGAATACCTTCTTGTAGAAATACGGTTAACTACAACCAATGTTTCAAAGGGTAATTCACAATACTGAAACACTCAAGGGACAAACAATATTCTCCCTCATGATTTCCATATCTCAAAAAGAACTATCTTGTGCTTTACTATGAATAAGTTCATTTAGTAGTGAAGTTTAGCTTATGTAGATCATTGTGTTTATAACACGAGGATAGATATAGATAACATAAGGATCAGATATTGGGATCGATCAGAATTTGTTTGCTTTGTAAAACAGACCAGTTCTTTTCTTGGAATAACAAAGTACACCTCTAGCATATCCAAAATTTCTGAAAAGAAAGAAAATTTTCTGAGCAGGAAGTCTCACAGAGGCAGATGCTTCCAACCACAGCAGGTGTTTCTGAAAACGTTCCGGCTAACGCCACTCCAGCCCCCGACTTTGGTGGTGATGACCTCAAACCTTAGCTGCCCCCTGTAGTCATACTTGTCTCTTCTGCGCCATCTCTTTCCAATTCCTTAGAGGCTATGCTGTTTGCCATCTGTTTTCTATGAGCCCAGTGGTCCCATGGGCTCCATTGGGCCTTTGCAATAGAAATCAGACACTTCAAGATGGGTTGAGGGACCTCACCATCTGCCCTCGCCTGCTCTCTGCTTCACTTGATATCTCTTCTCTTCTGTCTGCCAGTCATGGTGAACTTCTCACTTCTCAGGTGTGAATGTGTCTAATTAAACAGTGAAAGAGGTATCTGGGGAGTTGGTTAATTGATAGTGGTCTGTGTGGTTATAACTTTCTCCTTCCATCTTCACTACAGAATCTATTTCATATTAGTGCCCATCAATGCTGCATAAGGGTGAGTACCTTCTGGGGAATGAGAAAAAAATCCCACCTCCATATAACCTCTCAGAATGAGAAAAAAATTACACTTATAAACAGCCAATGCCCAGGTCACATGACAAATGCATAAATTCTACCTTATTAATAGTTCATATCATATTTAAAATCTTTTATTATTATTAATTTTTGAAACACAGTATCACTATGTCATTCAGGCTAAACTTTAACCTGCTGTCCCCCTGTGTCTACTACCTCTTGAATGCATGTCACAATGTACACCTTTATTGTTCGTTTGGCAAGAGATCAAAGCTCACACAGGCAGGCACTCAAGCCTTGAACTGTTTCCCCAGCCTTTATTTACTTTTAACAAAGAACTGGACAGAGTCCTTTTGTGGACTAATGGATTCCAATGTTAAAATGTTAGCTACTGTTTTATGATGTTGTTTGTGGCCTTTGTGGGAGTCTGGAAAAACCATGGGATAAGTAAGGCAAAGAGTCTCCTGCACTGGTCTGCAGCATGCTCAGCTGATGACTTAGCAAACTCTGCTCTTAAGCTGTCCCAAGGCAAGTCACAGTGGAGTGTGTGACTTGCACTTCTCTCTGTGGCCTATGCACCTGGCAGCCCTGGCCCCTAGAGCTGCTACTTTATTCTTGGTGAAATTGTCATGTGTTCAGACCCTCTGACCATTTGATTTTTTTTTAACCTCTAATTATTGAAAGCTGAACCCTGAGTTGTTTTTTTTTTTTTTCAGTGTATGATTCAGTGTCCTTTAGTGTCACTGAATTTGAAGGAAATTTTGAATCCTTGCTTTCTAATTAATGATGAATTAAAACGAGGCTCCCTCGGACCTTTGTGGTAATTGATGAGTGGTTATAACAAAGCAGTTACCTGGGCTTTCAGGAAATCCTTAGACTTTTGTTCTCGTTCATCAATCTTGATCTGAGTCATGCGCCCCAGGTTGAATACCAGGTCTCGCATACTCTCTTGCTCCTTCAGGAGCTTGTTCTCCTCTGCAATCTGCTGTTCCACCAGCCTTGCCTCAGCTTCGGATAGGGTTTTCTTTTGGAAAGCACAGGATTAGAACTCATTTTCTGAAGAAGCACCAGAGCAGGGCTAGCAGGTAGCACTGTCTTCCTTCATGCTTAGCAACAGAGAGAGCGAAGTCATGAAGGATGCAAACCAGTGAGTGCCTGGGTCAGCACGACTGACCGTTTCCTTAGTGGGGTTTTAAGTGACTGGAAGAGGTTTAAAAACATGTCTTAAAATAATTAAATATTCAACAGCAGTTTGAATGACAAAAGTTTGAAATTTGAAAATAGACATTGATGAAACAGGTTGACTTTTAATGCAATCAATAGCCTTTTATTTGAGAAATCTTAATAGCCTGTAAAAGGATCATCATTTCAAGCACATTCTTTTTTTTCTCAGAAAAAAACCAGTGGGGATTGAATTTTAAGATGAGGATAGTGCATGTGTGTGTGTGTGTGTGTGTGTGTGTGTGTACTCAGGAGGGATAGACCACTTGGCTAGCATGTTTGAGGCACTGCACTCAGTCCTCAGTAAACTTCCCCATAAAGAAGAAATAGGCCCAAGCAAGATGGTGCTCTAGCAACACACTTTTAGTTTAAAAATTAATGTCTGTTATTTGTACATATTATTATAGACATGAATGGGTTTCACTGTGGCATTTACATATACACATTATCACAATTTGATAGTATCTGCCTTCCCAGCTGCCCACCCCCTTCCCATCCCCTACTGTCTCTCTTTGATGTACTTTTGTAGAGCATTTTAAAAACGTAACTTTATACCCCATTCTGCGAGAGAAGTATAAACGAATGTGAAGTTAACCTGCTGAATCAGATTCCTCTTAGCTAATTCCACTTCCTTGTGGAGGTCTCTCCTTCTCTCAGGCAGCAGAAGATCATCTTTAGGGATAGCTTCAATCTAGAAGTCAGAATTTAAAATAGGTGCTGTAATGAAAACAGTATTCAATACCATACACTCAACCCCACTGTACACTTTTTGAAACTGGCAGGCAAATCATGATTCCTGATCTTATAGGAATTTCCTTCTCTGATTATTTTTTATAAAACCAACATGAAGTAAAATGTGAAGATCTACCAAAAATATACAATTCATTAGCTACAAATGTTTTATCCTTTATAAATAAATCTTAATATTGAGCAGCACCTAAATGTGTTGAAGGGTGTGGGGCTTACATGCATGATCTTACTTATTCCTCACAAACACCATGAGGCATCCGATTGTTTGGGAGAGAATGACATATGGACTTGCCTCAGTGGTGTGGTAGGCACCACACCCTTCGACCACCACACCCTCCGACCACCACACTCTCTGTCCACCACACCCTGCTGCCTCATTAATTCATCTTGTGGGCTGCAAGAATATATTATAGAGATTCAGCTGTGTATTAAAGCTGTACTTTGACTGGCCCAAGGGTCTGTCAAAAGGCAAGCCATTTATTAGGAATATTTGGTGCTATCCAGCCTTTAATATTTCAGCTGTCATCTGCTATGAAATCCTTGGGTGCCCAGACGTTTTCAGACCTGCTGAACTTCTAGGACACTAACTTCCCTTCTGGAGCCAGCACGTGGATAAGGTCACATAGACAAAGACAAGCTGGGGGAGACTCAGCTTTGTTTCCTGTGCTAATGAAGCTCAGACCATCTCCTCACCTTGAGGCCTAGTGGCTCTCCAGAGCAATTGACTGAGAACAAAAGAGGTTTTTACATATCGAGGTGGAAGGTAGGGTGGAGCAACATTCCTGAGGAGGCAGAGGACCCAGTGGCCCCTGAGAGGAGGACAGGGGTTTCCTGGAGAAATGGCATGGCAAGAGAAAAGAGAGAAGACTGAGGTGCCGTGGAAGGGAGGCAGATCTTGGGTAGAGTTTTCTGAGTGCCAGGAGTAGAGAGTAGTGGAATAGAGAACGAGGAAACAGGACGAAGATGAGGCTGGAAGCATAAGAGCTTAGTTGTTAGCTGGACTGTGAGAGGAAACTGGACAGAACTGTAGCTATGTAGACAGGATTTCATCCCAGAGAAATGAGGTAGACGGATAAAGAGCTTGGTGTATCTATGTTTATTCTCATCCTGAACGCCTGACGGAGCTGTAGCTGTACTGATAGAATTTTGTTTTAGAGGAATAAAGTTAACAGACATAAGAGCACAATGTACGTAGATGTTTTTCCCTCAGATATCCCACACTGGACTTAGCAAAATCCCTGGGACCCCTGGGTATTCAATAAATTCATGATTCGGGAATGGAGAAACCTGCAAATGTTTGACTATTCACGGGAGAGTGATTATAATGATCAAGTCTATGCTCATTTATGAAATCCTATAGGCCAAAGAAAAACAGTTATTAGCTAACAATGAGAATAACTTGCTACTTAAATGAGTAAATGGAAAGTTCTTACTTAAAAGAAAAAGTTTCTTAATCTTTTTATTGAAACCTACATTTTTGTCATTATACTTTTGCTGTGTTAGTTTGTACTTTTGTCCTGTGTTAAAATACTTTGGGGAAAGTATCTGATGAGGAATCACATAGTAGCTAATGAGGGAAGGGGGCATACAAGGCTGTGGAAGGGTCACCTTGGGGTGATAATACCCTACTTGCAATATGGGAAGCCAGCAAGTCCAGCCTGATGTAGTTCCTTCCTCCAGTGACAATAGACTTTGAGTCACCAGACATGTACACCAGCCATAATACACAGCAAGAAGGGAAGGCCGTGCTGTTCAGTGGGTTAAAGGTCACCAAACAGAATCTTTCTGAGGCTCAAGATGTTCTTATAAAGTAGCTCATATGTATTTTTGGGTGCCCCATCCATCTCTGTAAGCCAATGCTTCTCCAGTACCACCATCTGTACCCTCAGGTGCCCAGTACTTCCCAATTCTCACGGCTTCACCTACCATGGACAGCCCTTGGGTGCCTGGTGCTTCCTGGTTCTCATGACCTCGCCTGCCACAGATAGCCCTCAGATGCCCAATGCTTCCCAATTCTCATGGCCTACCATGGACAGCTAATTGTCAAGTAGCACAGACTGGACTTCAGAAAATGTGACATGGTCTTGTGAAATTCATACAATGATATAAAGACTCATGTTTTTAATGAACAGATGATGCTACAGCAGATCAAAGCAAAGGGAAAGCTCATGTAGCCTTGAATAATTGGGAAGACTTCATGGGCAGGATGAGATGACCATGAGCACGAGCTCCACCTCTCCTCTGGGCTGGAGTCCCGCATCCCCGAAACAAGCATCCTCTGCTGCAGATGGGCCTAAAATGGGCTGTTTCCCATTCTCTACTCCCAAGGGTGGGAGTCTGGTCCTCAGTGCCACCTGGGACCAGGAAATCTTGTAAAAATGACAGAAAATCACAAGAGTTTACTTAATTTTTCTACTAAAAGCTCCCAGATGATTTCCCTGGTTTGAGGTCTCAGACATTTTGATTCTTTCCACGGTTTTGAAGTATAAACAACGTTATTATGAATTGCACTCAATTTTTGATTTTTGACTTGTGCTTTTCCAATACTATGTGTGTGTGTGTGTGTGTGTGTGTGTGTGTGTGTGTGTGTGTGTGTGTGTGTTTATTTTCTTCATTGACCATTTCATACATGTATTTTGCATTCTGGCTAAATTGTCTATAAAACTCAGCCTCTAGTTTATGCAGAATTGCATACAACATGGTTTGTATAAGATGCACAGCAGATCCTTATCTAGCAGAGGCCAGTGGATGTCAATTTGACCTTATTAGCTGACCTTCATTGTTGATCCAAGTTGCAAGTATCTAGGAATCCTCAGACTTCTTTGCTACAGGGGTGACTACACAAGCCAGAGAGAACCAGTGAAATGGGGAAGACCCCTGGGTAGTGCTGCTGGGAAAGTAACTATTTTCACGTTAAAAGACTAAGTGACATAACTGAGACCCAGAAAGGCAATACTACATGTTCTTTCTTATGTGTAGTTCCTAACTCAGAATCTTGGAGTAAATGCAGATATCAGGAAAGTAAGAAACATGCCATGATGAGAGGCTGGGGTGGTTGTGGGTAACAGAAGCTCTGGAGAGGGCAATAGTAGGACACAGTCACTGTGGAAGGGGAAATGGGAAAAACTGGAGGAGACTCACCTGGGGACGGGGAGGAGGCAACACAGAGAGAAAGGGAAGGAAGAGGGAGGGAGGACACTACTGGTATTTGAAAAAGCCATAGAGAATCATACTATTTTATAAAGCTACATATCATGTGTGTGTGTGTGTGTGTGTGTGTGTGTGTGTGTGTGTGTGTGTGTGTTGTGAGACCAAAATGAGCCATCTTAGAAATAGGACCAAAATGCTTTCACCCTAAAACTAAGGCCTAAGATTTCTCCTTTTAGGTACAGGCCATGAGTTACTGAAACTAGTCAGTTCAGATTCCAGAAACCAGGAAGTGTAAAAGTACAGAGTCACAAGGTAGTCACGAGGTAATGCCTGCCAGACTATGGAGTGTCTTCTCCCTGGTTCCGTAGGTAACTGACCATAGAAATGTCCCCACCTGAGGGCAGCCAATGAGAAATGGTGGTGGGCAACCACCCCCTTAGAAGTAAGATTAAGCCATGATTTCTAGAAAGTCCCTAGAAGCAAGACAATCAGAATTGTACCTGTACTAGCACCCCTAAATGATGTAACCTTGTGGTTTTTGCCTTTAAAAACTGAGCTTGCAGAGAGGTGGGCACTTCCTCCAGCCTCCACTGCTTTGGATCTGTTGGACGAAATCCCTGCCTAGGCTTGTACTGCTTTTGGATATCCAGAATTAAACTTTGCTTTTGCATTCTGGCATGCTTGTCTTTGGTGGTCTCTCTGGGGGTGTGATCTGGGCACAAAAGTGTGTGTGTGTGTGTGTGTGTGTGTGTGTGTGTGTGTGTGTGTGTGTGTTTACTTCAAGCTGTAGCACTTGGGGTGACAATGCTCCCTCCCAAACCACAGATTATCTAGGAAAAACCCCAGTGTCAGACATGGGAAAACCCTTGAGTTGCTGGTCAGAGAAGTCCACGAGATTCCCACAAAACAATATAGGCCATTGTTGTTACCTTGGCTGCCTTTCAGAAAAAGGGGGTAAGACCTTATTGTTGTAGAATATTATTTTAAGATGTATCACATTTGTTTATGCTCTGGAACATTTTCTTTAATGATGCAAAGATATGTTGCATTCTTTTATGTTGTATTTATTTAACTCTGTGAAGCTGGGTTACTTTGCCTGTCTAAAACACCTGATTGTCTAATAAAGAGCTGAGTGGCCAATAGAGAGGCAGGAGAAAGGGTAGACAGAGCTGGCAGGCAGAGAGAACAAATAGAAAGAACAGAAAGAGGATGGAGGAGTGAGAAAAGAAGGGGCCAGTCACCCAGCCAGCCACACAGCAAGAGTGAAAGTGAAATTACAGAAGTAAGAAGGGGGAAGCTCAGAGGTAAAAGGTAGACAGGATAATTTAAGTTGAGAAAAGCTGGCTAGAAACAAGCCAAGCTAGGACCAGGTGTTTATGGTTAAGAATAGGCCTCTGTGTGTGATTTATTTGGGAGCTGGATGGGGGGGGGCAAAAGAACAAAAACAACCAACAACACCCGACTGTTGAACACCCCGCACACTTCAGACACAGGAATGGAGAATCCAGCTGGGACTGACCTGGAAGCCTCCTCACTGAGGACCAGCTCTCACAGTAACAAAAGGAGCTACAAAAGCTGCCAATGGAGAAAAGCAATCAGTAGTCTTATCCTGCTGTAATGCCTATGAACCAGACAATGACCAGGACGTCAAGATATTGTGAATGGTGCAATAGTGGCATTTATATCCCAGGGGTGTAGTCATAGCCACCCGATTGGACTTAACCCCTCAGTAGGAGGGGATTCATGCCTGGTGTTATAAACACATGACTACTCATGACTGGTGAGGTCATG